CCATTTGTTTTTGAAGCCCCTTTACACTCATTATGTTAGAGATTTCCCTTTGCATGAACATCATAGCCTCAATAATTTGTTCTCATATTGGAGAGTGGAATAATTTATGCTGTAACTGGAGCACTGTTCATAAAGTTACTTGCTCATTAGAAGCTAGTTTTGATGGAGGATGTGAACTTAATTTAAATTGGAAGATTATATTACCATGATCCTTTGATTCTGCTTAAGCATTGATATGTCCTTTCAACTTTCATATTGGAATGACTTTTTGGGATTGGCACCTGAGACATGACATTTATTATGTGGGTGTGTATCTTCTTGAGGTTAAATTGTCGGTGCACATAATTATACAACAAAATTTGCTCATCCAACTCATGATATTTTGTATTTCTTGCAGAATGGAAAGTTGTTGAGAAGCTTAAAGTCTCACACTGTTGCTGTTGTGTCCCTAAACTGGGAGGAGGATGGACAAGTGATTAGAGTATGCCTTTGTCTTTTGGAAAATTGTGACTTGTAAATATCTTGCATATGTTAAACTTTCCTAGGATGTCTGTCTAGGCTGGTATCTTTATCTGGTTCATACAAACATGTGTTCGATGTTATAACTTCTTGATCAATTTCCTATAACTTTGAAATTCAGGATGATTCTGTTAACAATTCAAAATATGAGGACCGCACTTCTTGTTTCTTTCCCCCTGCACCAAGAGTTCCTCGGATGCCTGGACTAGTACCTGGAGATACTGGCTTCATGGATGATAGTGAAGATTCGTTTCAAGAGCTTTCAAATTCTTCATACCAACGATTTAACATTCTATGCAGCGGTGACAAAGATGGAAGCATATGCTTTAGTATATTTGGAATATTTCCAATAGGGAAAATAGTAAGCTACTCATCTATATTGGAAATAACTTTCTGGATTATACTGATTAACTAATGAAGTATATTTGAAGAAGTAGAAATATGGTTTAGTATTGAAACTAGTATTTCTATATTGTGTGTCTTGGTGGTTGATCTATGGTTCCATCTCTTCTTAATGAATCTTATTGTAATGTGTGGCCACTCGATATACATTATTGACTTATTTCCTAACAACTAACTTGTGGAAATAATTGTAGCTTTTTGTAGAGCTGGTCCGGCTAATAAAGAATTACTTTTGATCGCTTTGATTCTTCAAATTCACACTCTTCTGTCATTTTACTTCTTATAATTTTACAGATATTGTAAAATCCTTTGAATTTCTCACCTAAACCTCCAGATATTTGCCTGGACTAATATTCATGGTTTTATGATAGCCTTATTCTTGCTTTTCAAGTTAATTTATGTTTTGTTTCTCTTTCTTTTGCTTTCTGTTTTTAATTAGTGTATTTTGTTTATCATTTATAACTATATAATATTTGATGCTCAACATATACTCACCTCTTTTTATGTATTTTAATGCGAATTATTTTGCACATGAAATCATTTGGCAGAACATTCACAAGTTATCTATACCTACTCCCTTTGCAAATGAGCAAGCTACTTACAGACTTCTAAATGCTTCCATTTCCAAGGTATGTTCTAATGAATGAATTTGCAGTGGCAGCAGTGCATTTGAGATCACATTCTTTCACGATTATTGGAGTCTTTAATTATTAGTGATTCATAGAACAAGGTGTTGCAAGTGATGTGGCAACTGAGCTAACTCTGGAATTTTTGTTTAAAGTTGAGTATAACTCTTTATGGGAGAGTTTTGTTCAAAGAGTCAACCAAAGAAGAGTTCTTCTAGTTTGGCTTGACTATGCTTAAAATGTTTATCTCTTAATTTATATTTTTACGCTTATAATATTGGACACCTTGTAAGGTGTTTGTTTGGGCTTTCCTGGTTGAAAGGTCATGCAGTTGGATGAATCATAATATGCATTGAGAGTATATTTCTTGCATCCAATAACCAAAAAAGAAAAAAAAAACACTATTGTTTTTATCAGTGCTTAGTGCCTGCAGGCCAATATGTAGAGCTATCTGATGTTCCTATGTTGTCATTATTAGGTTGCTTTGTCAAAAGACCTTTGTCATTTGATTGTAATGTGTTCTGGAGAACTTAATCAAGACGAGGTTGAATTGCAAGAGGGACAGCTGGGTGTAGATGGTATGCATGGCCTGCATTGCTTACTGCTTGATACTTCTATCTTTTGGAAGAGGTAACTTTTGCTGGAGAAACTGGGAATACCTGCAGCTTATTTGTAAATTTATAGGTATTAAGTTTTGTAGTGTTAGATTTATCTATACTTGAATTTTTTTTATGGGATTCTCTGTAATGCTTCTTGCTCATAGTTTTGTCATGCACCAGCTGCTTATCTGAAGTGGATGAATCATGAACATGTTGTATTCTATTATCCCTCACATGATCTACTTCAGCCTTTTTTATCTCTTTCTTATTGCAGGAAAAATGAACTCCATCAAGTGGCCCAACAAGCTTCTAACATTGAGGATTTAATTGAAGTTATTCGTACATCATTATCAGTAATGTGTAAGCAGTGGTCAGATGCCATGCACACTTTCTGTGAGAAGTTTGATTCTCTATCTAGTTTAATAATTGATCATGGTAACTTCTGATTAGAGTACTACTAATCATATTTTCCATTTCTGCCGCATGTGCATTAATTGATTTCTCTCACATGCATATAGGGCTGGACTCGTCTCCCCAAGAGGAGTTTTTGAGCCTCCTAGGTGGCGCACGAACTAGTCCACCAGTTCATCAGTTTCTAGTTAACTCCCTGGGTGAATTGGTAAACTTTGCAATTTTTAATAATATCTTTCTTTTGTGAAGGAAATTAGTTTGCATACTTTATTCAATGGATTTCTTCCTAAATAGGGAGTGAAGCGTGTCTCAAAGGTCGTTTGTGGTGCTGGAAAAGAACTTCAGCATGTTGTCCTTGATCATCTTCAGGTGCTTGGTTGAATTTTTCTCTGTAATTCATGTAATAATTACTTAGAAGAATCTTTAACTTGTTACTTTATATCATGAAATATCTTATTGCAATTTGGTGGATTGGGTTGATAGACAATGATATGGGTGCGCAAATGAAATTTAAGTGTCCAACTTAGGCTGTGCCATCTGTAGTTTGCTTATGCAATCTTATTTCTATTTAACATTTTTGTGGCTCAAATTTTGTTATGGTCGAAATGCTTACATTTCAGAGGTAATTCTACCTACTTGCTTAATCTAATGAATGTTAGCTATTATGTTGAAAGCCTATCAGCTTAGATAGTTGCTTTTTAGGACAAGGATGAGTTACTCCAGTATGTGCTTAAACACAGTGACTCCTTGTCGCACATAAAATCTCTACTAAAGCAGACTGTAACAGTTTTGTCATTGTGTTTAGACAATGTTTGGTTGTGATGATATATTTCACTAATGGAATATCCATTTTAGGCACTTCTTCTATTTCCTTATCACAAAATGTTGTATGGTGAGTGCTCCTCCTGATGTGATCCTGCTGAGATTAATATCCATTTCCCAGCCTGCTGCAGAAATTATTGGATTCAGGATGGGAGAACTAAGAGGTCTTTCAAGATGGCGCACACGTTTTCAGGGTATTGGCCTAGATGAGACTCTGATCAATAATGCGACAGAAAAATCTGGAATCTTACTAGTACAAGTTGAGCGATTTATGAGGGTGCTTTCCTCTGTGGTACAGCAGGTATGCTAACTTGAGAACCTTATTATTTGAAGTTCTTTTGGTCTTTCTTCATTCTTAATTTTTTTCCCACTATTTTGATGAGATACTTCAGACCTGTTTACTTTAAGTAGTCTGAGTAAATCATTGCCTTCAGCTCTAAATAAATCTCCAAAAATGATAGCTAGAAAATGAAAATTAATTGGTCTTTTCAACTGTAATCAATCTTCTATTAGAAAATCTCCAACCAGCTATGATAAACTGAGATGCAATTTTGTAGATAATTCATTTGGTGAATAGACAATGCGAAATCTTGCTTGCGGTAGAGTTGTCTGCTAAATTTGTATTCAATTTTGGAATATTCCAATATACTAACCTTTCTAGGTGAAAATCTCCACTCTGCCTCATTTGTCAGTTTGTGCTACCTTTGGATCAGTTGTAACAATAATGATGAAATGTAGGAGTTGTCTTTTTGGAACAAATGAAATGTTCGAGATGCATATGTTTTTCCCTTCTTTTTTTTTTTTTTTTGTCAAGATCTCTCAAGTTGAACAATTTTTTTTTTTTGAAAGGCCTTAAGTTGAAGAATTTACAATGCACTCTCTGATTCAGAACCATTCGCTTTGATGTTATGATGAATTTCACTAATTTTCCATCTTTTTAAAGCAAGATATGAATCATAACTGTCCTTTGAAGTGATTGCCGATACATAATGGTAAAAAGATGTCAGATTATATGCTTGACATGACAGCAGCAGTTTCAACTCTTTTTATTAAGAATTTTCTATTATTTTTTTTGTGAGAAAAAAGCAATTAAGTGTTAAACTTCGATGGTTAGTTTTCTTGCACAACCTTTCTACAATATGCAATGAAAGTGGACAATCTTCTTCTCTTGGAATTGTGATATTCTTCTGTTGGAGTTCTGATATCTGTCTTTGCTTTCAGTTTTCAAATTTCTTTAATTGGCTACTAAAATGTATAAAGCTACTTATGCAAGAGCCAAGTGATCAGCTTTTACCCTATAATAGGTTTGTTTCTCAGATGGCTTTATGTTCCACTTTTATGCTTATCCTTAATTTGGTAGCCTTACATTTTGTTTTTGACAGTGAACTTGTTGTTATATTCTTGAAGTTTTTATATGATCAAGATCCTGTTAGGCCCTTTTTGGAGTTGTCTGAAGTTGTTATTGAAACTGACATGTAAGTTATCCTTTCAACCATCATAGGGTCTAACTAGTGTATTTTCAATTTTTTTTCTTTTGTCAGTCATGTAACAAGATTTATGCTTATTGTTTGTTTCTTAAGTGTAACCATAATGTGTCACACAGCATTAATGTACGTATGTCGTACATTTACTTATGTTCTTGAGCTACTCTTTAATAGCAGCAGAGCGGACTTTGTGTCTACACAGAAGAAAAATAACTCTCTATAAACAATCTATTCTGAATATGCTGATTAAGGATGTAAAAATATTGAATGCTAACTTTAGTTTAATACTTATCAAGCTGCACACTTGGCCTTAACTCTTCATGAGTGACTGTTAGTATAACTGTATGTACATATGGAATTTATGAATGTATCTCTAATAGATGTATGATACATGTGGATAGGTATGTTTGAATTTATGCATGCATCTATATAGATGCATGATGCATGTGGGTAGATAACAGTGCATCAACAATGTCATTTTTTATCCTTGAAAGAATCTGATGCCTTATATCCTTTAGGGAAACACTGCAAAGAGTTAGAGAATTGGTTCATTTTGGGGGATTTTCAGATTGTGAATATCTGCGGAGGACATTATCAGAGGAATTTCAACAGATGGAGTCTAGGTATGCTTTCCATTGCCCTCATCTATCAATAGCAAATTTTGTTAATAGAGATTTTATCATTATCAAAACAGAACTATATTTTAACAACTCCTGCAGATGCCTAGGAGATGTGTAAATTTAAATGATTGAGTGTTTAGTGTGTTGTGAAATTTCTCTCCTTATAAATATGTGGATATATGGATTAGCAAGATCATTATTTCAATGAAAGCGAGAGTTCGTTTCTTCCCAATACTCAACATCCCCCCCTCCCCACCCCTTGTACTTCCTTTGCTTAAGAAACTGGGTTTTAACTGGAATCCCACTAATAGATCTAGTAATTTAGCCTTCCATCTTCATATCATGCATATTGCTTTTCTACTTTTCTTCAAACTGTAAAATGCCTTAACAATAGCTCTGCAATCTCAGCTTCAAGGAGGCTTTCTTGATGCCCTTTACAACAATTTCACAGAAGATACTTTGTAAGGATGTGCTTCCACTGTTTGCTCTCCCATCTTCTCCAGCATCTATGTCTGTCACTGTTCCTATGTCAGTAACATACTACAAGGTAGTCTCCCCTGCCAGCCCTCCCCTCCTATTCAGTCTCTAACTACGGTCCTACATTTATTGGCTTCTGTATATAATTGAAAGTTGTAAATGCTATATATTTGATATCATCATCTCTAACATTGGTAGAATTTACTTTTTTATGTTTTTGAATGCTTATTCTTCCTGTTGTGATGCTTTCTCTTTTTTGTGTAGGATGCCTCCACAGCTATGTCATCTTATCAGACTCACGAACACGGGTTTATTGATTATATTTCTTTCCAAATACCTGGTGACTCTTCCTTGGACATTGCTAATTGTATAGGCATATCAAAGGGTTTCATGCATAGTTTGAGCAATATTACTGAGGACCCTGCTTCATTGGAAGCTGTTTTGCTGTCTGTTCCTGATGGTTATCATTGCGTGGATCTATCTTTATATAAGGTGAAAACCTAGATTTTTACTTAACCAATCCAGTAATTTGGGCTCTTTGGGATGTCAATGAACTTCATTTTTCCTTTTTCTCTTCTTTTAAATGTAACAAAGGTAAGCCCATGTGTTTTTTGGTTATTTCATGATTATGCTGCCACCTTTTTAGTCTTAGTTTTTTGGGATGTTTTCTAATTCACTTGATCCTTTTTTTTAAAAAAAAAACTCTAAAACAGGAAGGCCAAATTGTTTTGTTATTAAATGAAACAACTGCTGCTTCTGAAAGCTCTGGAGAATCTTGTATGATGATTGTTCAAGCTAATGATCTCCCATTTGTATCTATTTCAAGATCCAGTTGTATCAATCATTGGAACTTAAGTCAGCTAAAGGTAAATGTTTCTTCTGGCAGATCTTAACCGCACTTCTTGAAGTAAATAATTGATAGGACCTTTAACCTAATTGTTTCTGCCGCTCAATTATCGATACAAACTCAATTACTTATCTTTACATGCCTATGAACTCCAGTTACTTCAGTCTTATGTTCCTTGAACATTTCAATATCATTGTTAACTCATATAGATTTGTTGCTTTTTTACACGATTGGACATCCTTCTGTTCATTTTTTGCTTTAACTTTCATAGACTTCACAATTATTAATTGGGGAAACCGTGCTTTTATTAATTCCCTTCTTACTCTTGGGGAAACTGTATCTTTTTTCTGTTTGCCATGAACTAAACGTTTTACCCTAGTTTTGCCATCTCCATTTGAAGCATCTTGTTCATATCCTACCTTGTTCCTGCCTCTTTCATTAATAATCATCTTTCCGTAATTTTAGGCAGGCATATAGTTCCCATGAGCTGATAGACTATGCTTATGGCTTCCTCTTTACCGAATCTTTAAGTTTCCGTTGTGGTGAAGCTAACTTGTTGGAAACTATATCAATGTGCATTTAGGACTCAGTTATGTATCTACACCTGGAGAATGAGAAGGTTCGACTTATTCCTCACTCTGTAGTTGCTCCTCTCGCAGTTAGTGGTAAGTTTCAAACTGAAACATCCTGGCAACTGTCATACATCTCAATCTGACGGATCATACCGAACATACTTGAATTTTGCAAATCCATTTAACGTTTATGTTGAAATCGACTGTAACAGCATCCAGAGGCGTAGCTTGTGTTTTCGCTGCGAGAAAACGTGCCTTGGTCTACATACTGGATGAAGATGAAGATGATATCTCAGATACAGAATGACTGCTCCTTCCTCGGACTTTTCTTATACTCTTTCGCCGAACTTTAAGAAAGACAAAAGTTCGTTATATTGTTTTATGTTGCGTTGATTGACAGTTATTTGCTTTTCCCTTGACATTAGAAGCCAAATCTTCTCAAGAGCTCAAGTTGAGAAATTAGTTGGCAGAAAAAAAAAAAAAGAAGAGTATTTTTCTTGTATTTAATTTTGTTTCAGCAGCTTATCTACATATGTTTTCACATACATTATGATATTTTTAAAGTAATTTTCGAGGAAAAAGATATAATTCTATAGAGAAGGGAGTAATGATCTGGAAATATAAAGATATAATTTTTCTTCACTTGCTTCCAAAACTTTCAATCTCCATATTCATGACCAATCAAAATCAAGCACAGCAAAGTTCCCACGAGTACGAGATTGCAAGCATACAGCCAGAGCAGCGTACGGTCTAAAACCACGGCTTTGCCTCTGCAAGCGACGTACAGTTAGGGGTGAGTAAATAAAAATGGAACTGAACAATCAAATCGAATTGAAATGAGTTCGGTTTTTTCGATTTGATTAGTTTCGTTATTCGGTTATTTTGGTTAGAATAGTTCGGTTAGTAAAATTATTTTGGTTTGGTTTCGATTAGAAAAAATTTTAATCGAATTAATCGAACTTAAATAAGGGTGTTTATTTTAAAAAAATTTATATGTATGTGATTTTGTGATTAAAAATATTATTATAAAGAAATTGAAAGAAAAGTATTTATTTTATTTATTATAAATTTTTAAGTTTATTTTTAATATTTTGTAATATTGATTTATTTAAAAAAATATAACATAAATAAATATATACAAACAAAAAAATTGTTAAGTTCGGTTTTTGGAAACCGAATCGAACTAACAGAATTAGTTCGATTTCGGTTAGTTCAATTAGTTATATATTTCGATTCAGTTTCGATTATTTTTAAATTAAGAGTACGATTAGTTCTAGTTCGATTAGTTATATATTTCGATTCAGTTTCGATTATTTTTAAATAAGAGTTCGGTTAGTTCGATTATTAGATATTCAATAACTGAACTAACCATTTGCACACCCCTACGTATAGTCACTGAAACTAGTAATAAAATCTTGAGTCACACATAATTGTAAGGAATATTGACCTATTATTTCTAATGATACTTAACTATTATTAGCCGGAGGGTTTTTCTTCTTTTTTTTCCCAATCAGCTGGAATTGAACTTGCTGCACTTCTCTGCTGCAGGAATTTTGCCTGCTTCTCTGAATGAACGAAAACATTTCAATTTATCCAAAAAGGAACTAAGAATAACTTAAGCAATATTGATAATAATACAATGTTGCTATTAAGATGACGCTTGGTACTGTATAATGCAATTTAATTATAGATAATGTAATTGCAAGTAATATGATTGTAAAGAAAATAACATTACAGTGTTTGATATATAAGTAAAATAATGATTAAAATGCAAAGAAAATAATATTACAGCGTTTTGTTTACAAGTACTTTATCGAGAGCGTAATGTTAATTTTTAAAATTATTTATATTTATTAAAATATAAATTTAATATACTTATATTTTTTACTATTAATTTTTATATAATATCATTTCTTAAATATATTTTTAATGTCATATATTTTATTTTTTATTATAATTTTTATATTTTATTTTTATTTTTATATATTTTTATATTATATATTTTATTTTATTTTATATATTATATTAATTTTAATTTCTGATTCTTATATTATATATTTTATTTTAATATTTTTTATTTTAATTATAATATCACAAAATATTTTTAACAAAGTAATAAAATTAAAAAATAAAAATATCTTTAAAAATATTAAAAAATATAATATAATATAATTATATTAATTTTAAACTATAATCACGTGATATCATCAAACTGTAATATAATTATATTATAATAATTTATTATAAAATAAATATTATAATATAATTAAATTAAATATATTATAAAAAATATATTCTCACCTCTTTAGTACAAAAGGTTATCTAAATTTGAGCCTGTTTGTGCAGAAGAAATGAAAACGAAAGCTACAGAAATGAGAAAACAACGAAATTGCACGTCTTTCATGGAGGTTTTCAAACATGAGCTGATCATGAATTTGACATTTTGTTCTTTGATAAGACATTAATCTTAGCCTTTAAAGCAATTCGGAGGACACCTTCCAAGAAAATGATCTGTTGAATGACTTTGTTTCAGCCAAACACATAATTGAAATATCACAATGATTCAAGCCCACTGTGTAGACTCCTAACATTTCTCCAGAGTTGAATGCGCATTCTAACAATACTGCCAGGTTTTAAATTTTGGGAAATCACTGTCATTTTAATTACCTTTCACTTAATGCTTTTACCAGCAATCTGACAGTAACCTGGTAGCACATGTTCAGTTTGGCAGCTTTCGCTGAGGTTAGGATGTCATTATCCGGGTTTATGTGCGTTTTCCAAGGTGCACCACCGCAAAGGAAAAGCAGAGATCCGGACGAAGAGACGAGAGACAAGAGTCGGAAGGGTTTCACTAGAAAATGAAAGGACAGCCCAAAAAGGGTGGCTGAGGACATCGTGATCTTTAGCGATGGCTGGACCTACAGTCTTTAATTCAAGCTGTCCGCATTCGTCAATTATGCCAGCCTCTATCTCCAACAACCGTACAGGCAAAACCTGCCACGCTCTTTGTAGCCATCCATCACGCACTATGCAGTCCGTGAAAAGGACATCTATTTTTTTTTTTCAGTTTTTGAAACAGAGATTCCACATGGATAACGTGTTCAAGCACAAAAAGCTCATAATGGCCACAATTGGGATTACGAATGTCCTTTGGGTCTCGTCTCTTTGAGGTTTCGTGAACCGCCATTGTTGCACAGAAGGAGGAATAATGCTCTAGGGGAAATAAAACATAGTTCCATTATGCAGCAGAGTGAGTTTGCCTCAGGGAATGTTAATCACTACCACTTGGAATTTATTTTTACATGTTACAGGTTAAAGCACATAAAGATATGCTTTTATTTCGTTTGATCTTAACAGAATAAAGTACAGAAGAGATGCTAATCATCTAAAGTAGTTACATAGATGTGTTACAACCGCTACTTAGACTCGTGCTGGACGGATTCCATCCCCTTGATAATATTTCCAACCTCCACTGTCAAGACACCACCTTAACCTAAACCGCACTAATTAATGATGGAAGCTTACTGTACAGAGAAGAAATGTACAAGCAGATAGGTCCACTGATGGCAGGGTTGGGAGTTGAACCCATGCAAGGGCTACAAGAGCCAGACCATGCCAACATCTCAGGTCCTTGAGTACTTGCTCCGGTTGGGCTAGAATCAGGCAGGGAGATGGCGGGAAGCCTACAAACACCACATCCAGACAGCTTTGCCTCACAGGCTAGATCTATGAATCATCCAACTCAACAAGGTGTGCCCGCCTTTCAGCAGCCTTTTTCCTAATAAAGATGCCCCATCTCAGGGCTGCCTTGAGCTTGAGCCACCCAACTACAGCTTTGCCTGATGAACGGGAAGCTTCATTATCAAAACCATAATTCAGAGATGGGGTGGGCATATATGCTGAGGAATGAGGATAACCATCTTCAGTAGCATTAAAGGAAGTATGGCCATGGCTTCCCATGTCAAAGATACGGAGCAAATGCTGCATATCTTCATTTTCAAGCATCTCATGACTTCTCATTCGAATCTCCTCCTCTGAGAAGAAATCCTCCACTCCCTTATAAGTAGGAATATTTGATGTGCCAACACCATGGAAATCTGGCATGGATGACTGTGATGAACCAAGCGCTAGCTCATTATCATTTCCTGGAAGCTGGACCTGCTGTGAAGCGCTGACCAAGTGGTTCTGTAGAGTGAATGAAGCACCATTCAACTCAGTCTGAGCATTAAGATGTACATTTTGTGATTGCATCGATAGTCTGGCAGCCATACTATCATCATAACCTAGAGAGATGGAGAACAGTCAACAACAAACATGTACAGATGCAAAAACATAATATTCAAATACCGGTCTGAAAAGCACTTAAGCAGGCACCAGGCAACAGCACCTTTTATTTATATATAAAAAAAAAGAATTGGGAGAAGGATTGCAGTTTTCACTTCTTCTATGTACTCAAAATGAGTTTGTAAAAAATGACAATTTATGAAAAATTCATGTTCACGTTCACGTTCACGTTCACGTTCAGTCAAGTACATATACCTCCAACATTTAGACCAGAATCCATGGGAGGCTGCTCTGAAGGAACTGGCACTGACAGGCTTGGTAGAGTTTGCTGTTGGTTAATCGAATTTGGATAACCTTGCAGGTCCATTGGAACATTGGCTTGTGAAGCACCTGCATTGTCATCTTCCTTGGAGCCTAACAGAGACTTGCCATCATACTCTATAACATGCATCCAATTTTCATATGCCTTCTTTACCAAGGCATCCACATAAACCTGCAAGAATGAGACCATTGAAAGTTTTCTCAAGCCTTTTTTCTGGTATCATTTTTTTCCATATTATGGCAAGTACGTAAAGGGCATGAGCAAAAGAGTAGTTGAATTTAATTTGTTAAAGCCAAAGACTGCGACTTTGAAACAAAGTCATCTGCATCGCTCCCACCAACATAAAAGAGGTAAACAATACAGGAAAATTAAGACAGGACTAGATAATCTTCCATTATTATTAATAAAATAAGCATAGTGTATTTGAAAATGGAAATCCAAACTAAATAGAATACATATCAGAACTGCAAGTTGATTTACCTTCTGGTTGTCTGAGAGAGACTCAGCTGCATAATATTGTCCATTAGCAATTAAGCCACTCAACTCATAGATGTTGTTAAAGACTATGCCAACAGTCCTAATGTCATCAGGATAATAAACATAAAGTTTCCCACTTAGAACACAAGTTTTTGCATGCTCCACCAGAACATCCCACATCTTATTTGACATTCCACTTCCAAGAATCTACAACAAATGGATCAACAAAATAGTTACAGACAGAAGAACAAAATATGTTTCTGATTAGAGGATGAGACGCAGAAGCCTTACATTTCTCAGCCTCTGAGAGTCCCTAACCACAAGTTGTAGAAAGTCTTCAACCGTAAAAATTCCAGCTTTATTGAGCCTCTTGTGAAATGACCCATCTTTGCCAATCTTCTCCAATCTCCAGACCTCATCATTTAATGCAGGTGGATAGTGTTTCTTGTATACTGTGTAGGAAAGAGAAGGAAAAGGCAACATTTTACTGGTTTTGAGATAAACAAAGTTAAGTCCATAGATTTTACCAAAAAAAAAAAAAGTTAAGCATATAATGGACGATTTGGCACAAATGAAGAACTCACATTCTCCTCGGTGATCCTTAACAGTGAAAGCATCTGTTTTCGCTTCACGAATACGGATGCCTTCACAAGAGCCAGAGGCAACCTTTAGCCCTAGCCTGAATTTCCTGCTCCTAATCCAGCTTGAGTTGTCTGTAAATGTTAGCTCCCCTAGTGTTCCTACACCATCCTTCAGCATCACTTGCAGATCTCCAGTTAGGAGTGGCCTCTTCCCTTCACGCTCCTTGACAACATGGCTATCAAATTCTTCTTGAGTCCAGTTATCATCATCATCATTGTTGAAATCACCCTCAAGCACAACAACATCTAGTTTCACAGAGGACTCTGGACCACACGTGACAACATGACCAGCGTTTGAATCGATCAAGACAATATGGATAGCAGCACCCTGTTCCCCTTCGACTTTCCCTCCAGTAAAGAGAGGGAGAGACAACCTGGATCTAAAGTGCACTTGCAAATTTCTTCCATCAGGTCCTCCTATTCGTTTTGGGGAAGAACTGCATTTTCTATCCATTAAAGAATGAGAGCAAGAGGCAGAGGCATCATAAACCATTTGAAAAATAAATTAACAGCAACAATAAAAAGCGCATTAACCAGAAAAGTGCAGCGAAAAACTGCATCAACAGAACAATAGTCACCAGAGTTTTGAATAATCAAAGGGGAGAGAGAGAGAGAGAGAGGAGAAAAGGAAGGCAGTCCTTGGGCATATAACAGAACTTGTCACTGGAAGAATGTGCCAAATATGCTACGCTAAAATGGATAAAAGATGAAATTTGCAGCGAAATCTCAAGGGAAAGAATGCTAGGAAGGACATCTATACTAGACAATAATGTAATCGCAAGCACAACACTGATGGGGCATATATGTGAAGGAAAAACAAAAACGCACTGGTACAACACAAGGGTAATTCCAACTCTTGTTGACTATTTTGCAGTAAAATCTTAATGGGGATTTAGCAATGACAAAAAAAAAAAACCATGAAACTTTCCAAAAGTATTGAAACCATTTTGTTATTAAATTATTACAAGATTTTAAGAGAAAAAGAAGGTTCATACTTAGCAGTCAGCTTGGCAGGGCCTAGCTTCGCTAAAGCGCGTTCCACTTCTTCACTGACCTGTTCAAATTACCAAGACCAGAAGAGTTGTGAGTTTGTAAAACATCACCATCCAAATTAGAAAATGAACTAGGTAGGAACTTCAAAGAGAAGAATAACATCCAGCATCTTACAACTCTTCGAAGAATAGGCTCCAATGATGAGCAAAGTTTCTGCAGACTATCCACCTTCAAAGCTTCAACAATCACACTGCATCAAGGTTAAAGCATTAGGTTAATGAAACAACTTATTTGCTTACCAACAAATAGCAGAAGTTCCAAAAGAATTTTGACAAAATAAAAAAAAAAAGAATCAAACTGCAGTCAAAATCATACATCAAATACATTCATCACTAGTCAATACTAGTAAAAAAAAATTAAAAAATGAAAAAGAAGAAAGTCAAGGCAAGAAAGACAGGGTTTTTTTCAGCTTTCTAAGCTCTGTCCGTCAAGACACTGCAAGTGCACCAACACCCATGTCCTATTTTATTTCATCTTTGTTGACACAACAGAGTTGGCTCATAAGAATACACCCACATGAAAACAACAACACAACTATGGCCTCCCTGCTTTTCCCATCACCTTATCTCTTAACTTATCAAACTGTCTTTTGCTTTATAATTAAACCATAACAATCCAAAACAATTTCTTTTAAAATTAAACAACTTTTTTCTTTATATTAAAGAAAAGAACCCTACATTTTATTGCATGTGAAAACAGTTATGAGAGAGTTTTTCTTTTCTATTCCGACAACTTCTTACAGCATCTAAACCATTAATGCATAGCTTTCAGTCAGAGTTCAGTAGGAAAACTTTTAGCTAACAGCAACAAAATCACACTCCCAAATGAAAACATAAAACACATACGGAAAACAATAAAGTGTTAGCTTTGAAAACACACAGAGAAGAAAAAAAATAAAAAAAGAGAAAAGAAAGAGAGATAGACCTAGCAAGAGCTGGTCGTTTCCTATCAGGTCCTTCGTCACCAGAACTCGAATCCAAACCTCTCTTCTCTCTCGCCATACTATTCGACCTCTCCATATACCTCGTTTGCATTTTCGAACTCAGTCTGTTTGGTTGCCCAGAAACTACCGGGAACAAAAAAAAAAAAAAAAGACTAGCCCAAATCAAACTTTTCTTCCTTTTCTTTCCTTCTTTTTATTCTCTATTCACTTACTTTGTGAACTTTCCATTTCTCACAAACAAACGCAAAGCTCGAAAATCTTTCTCTTTTTATTTTCCTTCAAAAGCAGATTCAATTTAATCCAACAACAAAGGAATCAAATTTTCTCTCTCTTCCTTTTTCTTTTCTTTCTAAAATTTCTAAAAATAAAAAATAAAATGCCAGATAAATGAAAAAGGGAACTAAAGAGAGAAAAAAAAAAAGCTAAAAAAGACGGAAGCGGGAAAGTGAAAAGAGAGAGAGAGGATTGGATTTTTGGGGGTGAGAGAAGCTTCCAGGAAACGTCTGCGAATTTTCCTTATTGTTTTCATTTGTTTGGAAGCTTTTTCCGCTTGTTTGTCGACTTATTACTCACAGTGACGGCTTTTGGTCACTGTTTGCTATTCTGTTTGGACTCGGACCTCAAACCCTCGCACGGTCGCCATGGCCGTGATCTTCCCCACAGAGCTGCAGGATCTCGTGATCGGAGCCGTTCGATTACGGAATCTCATCAGTTTTTCAAAGTAATCATTGCGGTTCCTGCTCAATTTTTGGATTCGAACGTGATCGAAAGTTATAGGTTTAGATCCTAACATCCATAATTATATCCTTTTTCTTTTGGCCATAGTTTCCTGTTGATTCGTCGAATCTCACGTCCGAGGCTGGCCTTTTAACTAGCTTCCATGGCTATTGATTTTCCATTTTGTTTTTGGCCTGACGTTAGCAAAGAATCGGAGTGTTGCATTTTTAAAGAGACAAACGCTTCCAAAAAAGTTTTACGTTTATTGCAGCACGCCAATACTACGCTGTCGCTTTGTTATCGCTTCTGTTTGTTTGTTTTTGGTTTCCCTTTTTTTTAAGGTAGTAGTCCATAACATAACATGTTTGGTAATATGTCTTTATTTTCCAATATGTTTTAAAAATATATAAATAAAAATTTTATAAAATTATCAAAAATAAAGATTTCATATTTCTTATATCATACTATCTTAATATTTTTAAAAAAATTTAAATTAATTAAAAAAATTAAAATAAATTTTTATTTTTTATATTTTTATTTTCAATTAAACAAATTCATCAATTAATTATCATTTTAATAATAATAACATAACATATTAATATAATATAATAATACCACATTTTTCATCTTTTACATAAATACATTAATACCCAATCAAATTTATATAAATATAAAACAATAAATGATGTTTTGGTTAATTTTAACTGTTAATTATAAAAACTTATAATCTATTTAAATAAAAATAAAAATTGAATTGAACATAATAAAAAATAAAAATTTATTTAAATTTTTTAAATAATTTAAATTTAAATTTATATTGTTTAATTAATATATACATTGTTATTTTTATTTAATATTAAAATTTTAAAACAGAGAAATAAAACAAAAACAGAGATACCAAACGCAGCCTTAACCATCTTTTCCTATTCCTACGTCAAAGATTCCACAAAAAAAAATTTCTGTTTCCATAGAAGCAATCAGGCAATTTTGGCCTGCTTCTTCTCAAAGAGACAAAAAAAGGAGGAGCAGACCCTACGGCACTACCATGAGAGAGATCCATCTATCCTCCTGCGTCTCGTGGGGTTTGTTGTTCTTAGGTCTCTTTGCATTTGTCTTCTACCAAAGTAATAATTGAAGGGTCAAAAAGAAGCAATGCCCAAAACATACAAGCACCACTGAAGCAAGTTGATGGTTTGGCGCAGTGAGTCAGTACGTGCATGCTAGTTGTGGAATAAATCCTACACGTGTGAAACAGCTCACAACACTTTGAACTGAAAGCAGAAAGGTTTAACATAACTGAACTCAAAACAGCAAAGTAACAGGTCATACACCGCAAGGGGGAAGTTTCCCCATTGAAACCAGTAGGAAGTGGAAAAACCATGATAAAGACAACATAGGAGTTATACTTGCTAAGTGTCAATACAATAAAACATTGCAAACATCCAAGCAGAAGATGTCTGCCGGTGGTGGCCAGTTAGTCCCGTATTACACTACTCGAAGTAAAAATGAACACATGGCATGGTATCCATGGCTACAAAAAATTTTGTTCAAGGTGATTAATGCATTTTCTTGTTTTTTTCCTTCCCCTTATTTCTGTCTCTTTTACTAGGTGGCCTAGATCTGTGTCTTGCAACTTTCTTCAATGGTTTACGTTTACTCACAGGCAAGTTGTGCTTTCTATCAACTCCATCTCCAACTGATCTGTGCATTGCCCTATGCGTCTTTTCACTAGTAAAGTTTTCTTCCTCCCGAGAAATCTCACTTGTTGTCACAGTGACAGTCATGTTCCCACCATCGTACATTGTCGTCCCTTACACCAATAAACAAAAAACCAACCACATGAGAAGAAATAAACAATAGGTTTAAACTTTTTTTTTTAATTGGAGGAAAAGGGATTTGAATCCTACTTTCTAGGCAAGAGGATCATGTATCAATCAAATAAGTCAAATGTTCAGGGGCAACAATAAGTTTAAACTTGAATCATAAAAATACCACATTGCAATATGAAAGATACAAGGGCATGTAAAATCCATTGTTCTCAATGAAGCATTATAGTAGCTTGTGAATCCATCAGCTCGTAGGATTAGAATAATACCAGAAACTGATGCAGTTGGCTCACTTCCTTCATCCTCCTCATTGTTCTCATCACTTTCATCAGGTCCGGACTCTGTGCTGGGTGGAGCTCCCCCATATAAGGCAAACTCTTTTTCTAACTTTCTCTGAAAAATTCGTCAAACAACAAAGTTTGTAGCTTCAGATCGTGTCCAAGTTAGATGAGAAAGCCAAATATTAACATACAAGTAGTAGTCTACGTGCAATGAACAAAACACACACAGCTTAACGAAAAAACAATCGTAAAATGAGTGACAACTGACAATCATGGAAGATCAGCATGACTCCAATACAAACTAGAATCGCCTAGGATAACTAGCACACTTATGAACTCACAGACGCATATCCCAATTCTTCATATAATCTCATTACATTTTAAACAGGTGTCAGCATTTAAAAGTTTTCTGACTTTGAATACCTTGAACTCTTGATTCCCCAAGAATGTAAACAGATATAAGAATGGCTTGGAAGCATAACATTTACCCAAGGTGACAGGTGTGTTATTTAAATCAAATTAGCAGATAAATGGTGATAATCCTTTCAGAGAGGCTAATGGGACATTGACCAACTTAACTATATTTTCATAAACCTTAAATTGCAATGCCTCGGATAAGTATTCGAATGAGGGGAACAGACAAATGCAATGAACTTGTTTCCTTTAGTTCCAGTGATATATTTTATAATCGTAATTACAAGCAATGCTTCAACAGCAACGCAACAACTAAGGCAAAAAAGAGTAAGTTAACAATATTAGCAGTAGTTTCAGTACATTTGAAGCATTAACATGAAACGGCATCGTACAACCTCAACAAAAGAAAAAGAAGAAAACCTTTTTGCGCTGTTCAATACGCTTGCGGCGTTCAGCCTCCTCTTGCTTCTTCTGGGCTTCCTTTCTTCGCTTCTTCTTCCTCTTGTGAAACCCAGTCACGTAATCCCTTAATCAATTCACACGATTATAAGTACGAACTACGAAGCGAAAGGTTCGCTTCTCAAAGAAAAAAAATGAAATAAAGCAAGTACTCCGCGTGTGCTATACTACCTCAGATCCTTCTCGTTGAAAGAAACGGCAACTGCTTTGTTCTTGAGAGCTCTCTTCTTTATGTGGCGGCCTCGATGCTTTGACAGCTGCTGCGGTGCTTCCTCTTCGTACTCTTCTTCCATTGCTGCAGCCATAGAGCTCTCGAGTCTCGCCCTTTTTCCTAATTGCAGCAGGGTTTAACGAGCCGGGGTTTTCAAGATGGGCCTCGGGTTTGGGTTCAATGTGGTTTGTTTTCCGTTTCTTGATCCAGTCTATCGCATGCTTCGGCATAGGCCTTAACGTTTTAGTCTTCAAACCCAGAAAAAACATGGGCGTTTAAGCTTTGTCTTTGAACCCAAAAAAATTCACGAGCCTCGTCTCTATCATTAATATTTTTTATAAACTTGATACATGATATCATCATATACTAATTAATTTAATAATATAAAATTTGATATAAAATAAATCAAATAATCACGCCATTAAACTACGTGAATAAAAAAGTCAATTCATGTTGAATTAAGGATTTGTAATTTTTCAATACGAGGGTAATACATATCAACACTAACAAGTGTGGGGCATGACTTAATACTTGGAGTTTGTTTACATAGTCATTGGACTTTATTTTACACATTTATTGTGTCTATATTTTACAACAACCGTTCACCTATACAATTTACTACCTTACTAAATTAATAAATCTACTTAAACCGACTATTTAATGCAGTAAATAAGTTGTTATTAGTACTTCCCTAATTGCTTTTAACAATGAAAAATAACACTACTAGAAGCTAGTGGTCCGTCCTTTTTTTCCCTATGAAGATAGTCAACTAGATTAGGATTGGAGTTTGACCGGTAAGCCAAATTTAAAGAAATTAAGCTCAAATTAGAAGAAAACACGTGTCATAAAAACCGAAACGCTCAAAGTAAGTATAAACGCAGCTCAACAATCTAGAATCTTAGGGCGGCGCATTATCTCCAGGATCCTCTCATCATTTTCCCCACGCTCCACGCGCCTTTTTTCAGTTTATTTATCTTTATTTATAATAAAAATAAAATATGATGTCGTTGATTATTCCATAAATGAATTTTCCTACAATTGGCAACGCGAGGGCGCGTGGCCATATCCAGCAGCTTAAACAACAGAAGGAAAAAAACGGCACACCAAACCTGACGTAAAAAGCGAGGCAAAAGAAACGCCTCACTCACCACCATCAATACCATTCCTTAACCCGGTTCTCCCGCCCATCCAAACTGAACCGGACCAAAATCGCCACCTCCTCCCTCGCTCTACCCCGACCCAATTAACTATCACTCTGACATATTCCAATCATTTTCAAAACTGGTACTGACTATGGATCAAGGTGGTCTACCCGAGAACCTGTCCCGGTCATTATCGGACCGAGTCTTAGTCAATGGGACGGTGGTTCCCATCACATTCACCGATGATGGGAAGCTCCGGTGGACAGGTAAAGGTCAACGGTGCTTGACCATGGAGAAGGAGGTTCTCGGATTCGCCTTGGAAGGTACTAGAATCCGAGTCAATTATGCTGTCGAAAAGGGCGATGGAATCTGCTGCGTGGGGAACAGGGGAGATTTGGTGAGGCAGAGTTTCGTGTTCGAGCCTCTCTCAGATGATTCCCTCAGGCTCTGGTCGCAGAAGCTTCGTGATTACATCGATTCTCTTGGTACAAAAAACTTGACCCTTTGCAAAAAATTATAGTTTTAATTAGTAGTCTCAATGAATTGCATGTTTTATTTTCATAACAGGACGGCCAAAGAGACTCTTGATATTTGTGAATCCATATGGAGGGAAGAAATCTGCGACTAAAATATTCTCAGAAGACGTAAAACCTTACCTTGAGGATGCTGATATCCAAATTACGGTGATAGGTTAGGATTCAATGTTTCACAAATGGATGTTTTAATTTCCCACAATGCTGTTTCTCTAATTTTGATGACTAACGCAATTTCTCAGAAACTAAACATCAGCTGCATGCAAAAGAAGTTGCCAAGACTTTGGATTTATCAAAGTATGATGGAATTGTTTGTGTTAGTGGAGATGGAATCCTTGTTGAGGTCAGTCTTTTTAAGTCCCAGAGTATAGCATTATTGTAAAATTTTGTGGCTTTATTTTTATCTATCTCAATTTTGTTGCAATTTTTTTAGTAGGTGGTAAATGGACTGCTTGAAAGAGAAGATTGGGCTGCTGCAATAAAGATTCCTATTGGCATGGTTCCTGCTGGTTCGTTTTCTTTCTACACCATGTTAATATAAGTTAAAATTTCTTATATGTGTAATTTGTGAATGTAAATTTATACCTGGGTTATGCTTTACAGGAATTTCTTGATTTTTGGAACCTTTAAAACTTATAGTTGAAAACTAAAGCTCTCTCTTTGTCATAAAAGTTACCTTTTTTGGATTTTTTGCAAAGATTTACTGGTTTTTTGGCCAACAAATGATTCACTGTTATAAAATATGTGACACATAAAGATCTTTGCTTGTCACTATATATTGATTATCTGGTGAGTTCATTCATCCGAGACAATTAAAACTTGATTTTCTGCTCTATTTAGTGTTTGCTTGTTCCTCGTTATGATTGCTGATCGTTTTGATTTTCTTTCCCCACTTAATTTCCCTGAAGAGAATGATGATATTGGCAAATTATTCTAATGACTTGTTTAAGCAGTGCTGATAGCTGATGGTAAATGTTTGTGGCTGCAGGGACAGGAAATGGCATGGTCAAGTCTTTGCTGGATGCAGTTGGTCAACCATGCAGCGCATCTAATGCTGTTCTTGCTGTTATCCGAGGTTAACAAGGGTGTCTGTTATTTTGTAGAGAACATAGAATTGAGTTTTTTCTGATCAACAAATAGTATTTCATTTTGATTGAAGAAATTCTTGGCTTAATGTTTTTCTACTGGCAGGTCATAAATGTTCACTGGATGTAGCTACTATCTTGCAAGGGGAAACTAGATTTTTCAGTGTTTTGATGCTTGCATGGGGTATGTAAAATTCTTCCACCTTCTAATAATGGATCGCACTGTGTTTCATTTTCTGCCTTTAATGTGGATCTGTTGGCAAAAGTTTGGTGATGTATGCATCTGTTTTGATATACTGGTCATGAGCTTTAAATGTATTGCAGTTTTTTACATGGTGTTTCTTTTATTTCAGGTCTGATTGCAGATATAGACATTGAATCTGAAAAATATAGGTGGATGGGGAGCGCTCGTCTTGATTTCTATGTACGCCCCTTCATTTTATCTGGTTTGTTTTTGTGCTCGTGCACTTATGTAATAGCTTTTGCACCTGATTTAGCGCATAGCTTGTATGGCTCCGTAAATACTATTGGGATTTGGAATGAGAATTGTTTCTGTCTTTCTTGTGTAGGCTCTTCAACGTTTATTACATTTGAGGCACTACAATGGATGTGTTTCTTTTATGCCTGCTCCTGGCTTTGAAGATTATGGGGAGCCAACTGCTTATCATGGTGAACCTACCAATGAAAAAAGCCCAACTCTGGAGAATTCTGTGAAAATTCAATGGCATGGGTACCATGGGTCTGATGTTAAGTTGGAGAACAAACATTGGAGGACTATTAGTGGACCATTTATTTCAGTTTGGCTTCATAATGTACCATGGGGAAGTGAAGATTGCATGGCTGCACCCAAAGCAAAGGTTTATTTTACACTAACCTCTCAATGTACTAATTTATTAACTTTTCCGTAAAATTCTCCTAGTTTGTTGCTTTCCTCATCCATATCCATAAGCAACATGCCTTTAGCCTGTATGCAGCATTTGCAGTGTGATTAACCCAACTTTACAGTTTTTCAGTTTGTCCAGACTCCACTGAAATTGACATGAAGGTCTAGAAAAAAATTACCATGTATCTTCTGCTCTGCCTACTTCTTAGCACTTTTACAGAGTATACATTAACACACAAAGCAAAGCAATTGAAATTTTCATCCTTGTATGATGTACAGCATATGAAGCTTTATAGTTGCCAGAGTTTCGCATGTAGATGCCCTCTTGATCTGGAGAAAATTTGGTTTGAGGAATGCATAAGATAGTGTATTCATGCTTCTATCAAGCTTTTAGAAAGCTCTAAAGTTTCAAGAGAATAACTATTATGTAGAATGTGCAGTGCAAGAACCATGTTTCACTTCTACCACTTTTGATTTGTAATAAACTTCCTACAACCATGCCATTCTTACTCTATGCAATTCACTTGTGTTCTGTTTAATTTTGCACAGTACACTTATGGAATAGAACTTTTTTAACTGTTCAGGTATGAAATTCTCAGTTTGATTTCTGATTCTAAGATGCATAACTAATATTACTTCTATGTTTCTTTTGTTGGCCGTAATTGCAGTTCTCAGATGGTTGTTTGGACTTGATTATCGTCCGGGACTGCCCAAAATTATCCTTGCTGTCATTAATGTCAAAGACGAATGATGGGAGTCATGTAAAATCACCACATGTTACCTACATTAAGGTGAGTTCACTAAATGAACCTGCTATGATTCTTTAACTTTCTTCTAGACATGGTAGCAGAGATTATGGTCTTATTTTATCTCTCTAGTAATAAAGCCATCCATGTTCTGTATGTTCTTTGACTAAATTACAGGTGAAGGCAGTTGTATTGGAGCCTGGTCCACGTGTTGAGGATCCGGCGAAGGAAGGGATCATAGACTCAGATGGTGAGGTCCTTGCGAGGGGAAAAGGATCATACAAGTGCGACCAAAAGGCCCTTATGGCCTATGATAAGCTTCAATTAACCGTGGATCAAGGTTTAGCTACTTTGTTTGCACCTGTATAGGCTTGGGTGTCGACTATAAATGAATCTGGCTTGGGTGTCGATTATAAATGAATCTTACTTGCGATCTCATGGATTTGAAATGAAGAAACAAGTGTTTCACAGTTGTTTTTTTATTTAATTTTGGCTGTATAGAACCCACAAAGGAGAAATAAAAGGGGTTGGAATTTGAATGACTTTACTGTATTATTACAGCATGATTGCAACTATTATCTGGAAACAGAACACATCACTCTGCTATCACGGGTTGTGAACGCGTGACCGGTGAGGGGAAAGCCGCATTGCCACCCGCAGCGGCGGACAGCCTCCTAACTAGTAACGTAATGGGAAGCGATTCTGATGACTGAGAGGGGCTTTGCTCTATCCCGACAGAGTTCCATTTACATGGCCACTTTCTAATCTTACCTTTCATTTTTTTCCCTGTCTGTGTCTTTGGACTTGGCTAGAACGTGAAGCATGTTTGAAATAGTGAGGCTTGGCCCATGGGGACAGGCAGCGTGTACGTTACCAAAAGTAAACGCATTCACATACGATTCCGTAATGCAACAAGTTAAGAAGGTCCCACTTTCTTATAGGAACAGTAACATAACACCTCCGTGTTTCTGTTTCTTTGACGGTTTGGTTTGGTTCGGTTTGCGGCGGGCGATCTAAAACAATGAGAGGACCTCAAAGACAAAAGAGTCAAACCCAAATAGGCAAAGTTACTCTCTCATTCACACCCACTGACCAGGAAGCTCACGAGTCTCCGACTCGACTCCCGCTCTGGATGAGGTGGGTCCCTTTGACAAGGTCGATGACACGACAACTAGATCAAGTGAATCCAGTTGCAGCACATTAAACTAGTTCCCAATATCATATCAGGCTTGAGGGTTGAGATTTTCTTTGACGTCACTTTTGTCCTTTGGGTATGGGCACTTCCCACTCTAGACTACCTAGTTATATTGTAGCCTGTAAGATCTTACTACTATCATCGCTTTGACCAAGGTATGCATTTGTACGGCCATGTCATATATGCTGCAACTGGATTTTCTTGCTTTCTTTCAACGGGGCTCTGCTTTCATACATGAATTTGATATAATTTAAACAATGGAAATTTATTCTAGCTAGTCTTTGTTTGAATTACATTACGCTATATAGTTTAATTACCATTTTGTCTTACTTTTGTCAATTTTTTTTTTGGAAGAAAGAGTTTTAGTCCCATTTTTTAAATAGAGAAATATGTACAATTTTGTAAACTTCATTTTGTGTACATTACTATAAAATATATAACATTTGTTGGGGAGAGATTTAAATATTAAAAATTAGATTAAAAAATTCAAAATAAGGAAATAAATCGTAAAGACAAAAAATCCATGACGAAATTTAGGAACCAATTCGTGAGGATCATAAAAGAAAATTCAAGAATATCATGATGAAGGTCACCCCAAAATCTACTTCCAAACCTTAACTTACTTGAAAAGAATATATATATATATATATATATCACCCTCACAAACCTTAACTTACTTGAAAAGAAACAAAATGAAGTTTGCAAGAAGCATTTGCAATTAATTATCAATTTCATTTTGTTAGACCCAAGTCACCGTCGGATTCTATTATAGACAAGTGCTCGTCCAATACTGATCTTTTAAGCATATGCTTGCTTGCTAAGAATATACAAAACAGAAAAACTGCTACTAAAGTCCGTTGTCAGTATCCACGTTAACTTCTGTACATATAAGTAACCTTTCCAAAGCAAATCACATCGTCCAGTAAAAAAGCTTGATGTTCAATCAGTGAGACTGCGATGATCATGTCCAAGCCTCCCCTCCGATGTCTAGGTTTCTCTTTAGTACGTATTAGCCCCATTTTTTAATTTCTATATATCATGTGGCTGTCCGTCCCCGCCCGCTACATTGCAAGCGCGTTAGCTTTCTCCTAGGAAAGAAACAACAAGGAAAGCAACATTGTTTAGATGTGGTCGAGATTCAATGTTTTGCCGTTTTTAAGTATCATCATCAGTTTAGTATTTATCACAAGCAAAATATCTCAAATCCCGTTCTTGTCCCCTCTCTCTCTCTCTATTAGCTTCTATAAATAAATAGATATATCCTGAAGCATTTGACTTGAAAACAGTATGCTAGTCTTTGGGGGTGAAAACTAATATATCCTCTTGGCTTGAAAACAAAACCCAGTTTGGACACCAATTGCCAAAGAAGCTTCCTTATCTTCATCAATGGACTCTTTGCTTCTCCAAAATATGGCAAATTTCATTAATCACAGTACAAAAATGTGTCAGATTATCCTATGATTTAAAATGGGTTTTGGGAATTAGAGGCCGTACTGAATCAAACCTAAAGAACCCTGATATTGCCGATATGGTCTTTTTCCTTCGCAGTCTCCTTTGCTTCTGTTCAGGAAGCCAACCACCGTTATGAATTACTGGCAAACTACATGTAATTCCATTGAAAAGGTTCCGGAAAAGCGCGTGCTTGTTCAGAGATAATAAAGCATGCCTTACGTGAACATGCATGACCGGGGCGGCGGGCCATGCATGATTTTCCCCATTACCATATAGAATCCTCGAAATTACCGAAACGCCCTTCCTCTCGATCCTTTTTCGTTTCACGTGGGGTATTTTCGGTAAAACAGTCTAACGAGTCCGATACAAGTCAAACACCCCCAAACCTACCCGAAATGACTAAAACACCCTTACTTGCAATCCTAAAAAAACGATAAAAAAAAAACGACGACGCCAAAGATAACAAAAGGCCACGGACTCGACGTGTCTTTTAAGCCTCAATATATAAACAAAACAACGCACACGCCTGTTGGTTTTGTTATTTTATTTATGTAGAAGACGCATTTACTAATTCTTTTTTATACATATATATATATATTTGGGTTTATTGTTATTTCTCTCACTTAAATTTCACTCTTTATCTCTCTAAAGCCCCTCTCTCTAACCCCTTTTCTTTTTTTCTCTTCGTTTCTTTCTCGTGGTTGTGCAGATCAGCGCCTAACCATCCGTTTCTTTACCGTTTCTTTTTTGTTTCGTTTTTTTTTTGGTTGTTTTTCTATGAAGAGAAGAAGCTTAGAGAGTTTTACGTGTGAGGGGATTTTGAAATTTTGAAATAAAAAGTTAGTTATAATAATAAGAAGATGACGTCGACGTCGGGAGCAGCTTCGTCTTCTAAGATTTGCTTCAATTCGGACTGTAAGGACTTGAAATCGGAAAGAGCGAGGAAAGGATGGCGGTTGCGAACGGGAGAGTTTGCTGAGCTATGTGATCGATGCGCGTGGGTTTCACTCTCACTCTTTCTTTTTTGTTTTTGCCTTTTTTAGACTCTCTGTTGACTTCGTTTTGAGCCGCTTTTGTTATTTCTTTTTGTTTTGGTTTAATTTAGTATGAAATTAAGTTTTAGTTGCAGAATTATTGTCCTTTTATGGTTTTCCCGGAGGTTAATTTGGGAAATTTTGCTCCACTTGAATTACTAAATCACGAATTATTATTTAGTGTTTAATGTGAAGTCTTGAAAGTGAATTACTGCTTGGTTTATTTCTGATGTTTTAATCTGAATTAAGCTCTTTGTGACTGTTAGTTCTGCTTTTGAGGAGGGAAGGTTTTGTGATACTTTTCACTTGAATGCTTCTGGTTGGAGGAGCTGCGAGTCATGTGGGAAGGTTAGTAGAAACATTTGTTGAGGCTAATTTGTTTGCTATTATTATTTCGGTGGTTTGATCTTACCTAGTTTTCGTTTTACTTTATTTTTGGTGAGCATTCGTCTGCTTACGGTCATTCTTTGGCTGCAGCGGGTCCATTGCGGATGCATTGTTTCTGTTTACGCATTTACCTTGTTGGATGCTGGAGGAATAGAGTGCATAGCGTGTGCGAGGAAAAATGTTGTTTTGGTGAGCATTCCAATGTCTCTTCCAGAATCATCAATTTTTGTACTCTATATTGGAATTGTCACTTTTAAGATAGGGTTATAATATGTTGTAGTTGGTACTTTACTAGCAGATATTCTCTTGCTTTGAAGTTAAAGTTTGCCACTTGAACTATATTTCCTAGTTAATTGCGTTCCTTGGCTGTGGAATATGTTATGAACCTCTTTATTTCAATATCTGTATCTCAGGGATCGAATTCTTCATGGCCACCTTCTTTGCTTTTCCACCCACCTTTGTCTGAGAGATTAAAAGACTATTCTGCTAAAGGTTGGAGTCAGCTAGCTGGTTCTGGTCCTGTACCTTGGCGGCAAGCACCCAGTTTGTTCAATTCTCCAATTTCTCAGCCTGAGTGGCATTCTAAAGTGTCCTATGAAGTTGACTTATCCACTGGCATTGACAGACTAAATGCCGACAGATTATCTACTCCTTCCCTGGAAAAGAAGAAAATTGAGGACTTTTCTGAAAGGTTAATGAATGGAACTTTGAAGCTTGGGACACGGGATATACATGAGAACGGAAATGCAGGTTCAGAGTTTCTTTTCCCTGTATCAATTATGGTAGTCTTAGGAAACATTATATCTAGCAACATTCATGCCTGCATATGTAAGCTGTGGATGTCTACCCTCATGCTTGCACATATATTTTGTTCTGCAAAAGTAGTCTGTGAAAACAACTAATGGGGTGGCTACTGAACCCTTGCGAACCACTTGTTGTTCAGGAATCAATTGTGAGGAGCAGCCTGGTTCATGTTTAACTAAATCTCAGCAGCCTTCTCTGAAGGAGGAGCCATCTAATCCACCATTTGGATTATCTGTACCTTATACATCTCCAGATGAAGCAAATGGTCAAATTGGGGTTTCTGGCTCTCATCTGCGACCAACCCCCACCCCGCGCTGGCCAAGCAATTTCATAGTAATTTACAAAATGGGCTTGACTCATCAGGTGAAACTCAGATTCGTAATGGGAGGCCTCGACCAGATGGCCGTGGAAGGAATCAATTATTTCCTCGTTATTGGCCTAGGTTTACTGACCAAGACCTGCAGCAAATATCTGGAGAGTATCCTTTGATTCTATAGGGCATTCTTGATAATTGGGAATTGCATTGAACATATTAGATCATTACCAATAGTAATTGATTTTGTAGTTTTAGTTTCAGATTTCTGATACATGTGTTTTCTTTATTTTGAGGCAGGCCTTGTAACAGTTGATGCCGCTTAAATGGTCCCTTATAGTTAATTCTGAAAGTTGGATTATAGTCTAAAACGTTTCTTAAACATTTAACTATTAGTACATTTACTCTGGTCATGTACATTCATTTATTACATTAGTGCTTCTGTTAAGACTTAACCATATTTAAGTTCAAATTCTGTAATCACTCCTTTGTTTGAGAAAATGTTGAGTGCTAGTGATGCTGGGCGAATTGGACGTCTAGTGCTACCAAAAAAATGTGCAGAGGTGAGTCATTGCTCTTACCTACCCAAATTTTTTTATTTGATTAGCATTTGATAGCTTTGCAACAAAAATTTATGAATTGATGGTCATAAAAGCTTGGCAGTATAAAATTTTTGTTAAGATCAATAACCTAGATCGTTATTTTGTGGCAAGGTAGCTGATTTTGACTTTATGAAAGTTTACTTTCAGTTAGCATCCTTCATTTTTATACTGGAAACACTTTGATCTAGTTTTGTACTGTCAGGAATTTAATGATTCTTTTTTGAAGTTAAATATGAGCCTGTGTTTGCTGTTGTATGTCTTAGTTTCTCATCAATTGTTATCTAGATTATTTTCACTTGCTAAATTACACTCATCATGAGACAGGCCTATTTCCCACCAATATCTCAGCCAGAAGGTTTACCTCTTAAAGTCCAAGATTCAAAAGGAAAGGAATGGATATTTCAGTTCCGCTTCTGGCCCAACAATAATAGCAGAATGTATGTTTTAGAGGGGGTTACTCCTTGCATACAGAACATGCAATTGCAAGCGGGCGACGTAGGTAACAAATTGATATCACTGAAAAGTAATGATTTAGATATTTCAATCTTTTGTGCTATGAGGCCCAAAGTATGCCATGTTCAAGCTATAGCTTAATCTGTAACTCTCTTGACCTGTCAGTTTTTTTCCTTTAGAAGCTTTCTGGTTTCTTTTAATCGCTGCTTGGGTTTACTGGTTCATACATGTTAATGACAAGGTCTAATTGTGTATATATACGTGTTTGTGTGTGTGTGTTGCCTATTGCCCTGTTCATTTTGTTTGTCCACTACTAGTGTATTTGACACTCTCATGCATTTTATTTATCTTTCTTACCACATTGTAGCTATTTTGTATGATCCTATGATCATGCACCTGATTAGAGACTTATATCTGTTTTTAACTGATAGTTATGCTGTTTCCTCAGTAACGTTTAGTCGGTTAGAGCCTGGAGGGAAGCTGGTTATGGGTTGCAGAAAGGCTTCAACTGCTTCAGCATCTGAGCAGGTTGGTCTTGCACAATCATTTGTACCTTCTATTCTGTTTGTGCATCTGTATGCTCTAGAGCTAAGATAACATGAAATACAACTGGTTATAATGAGGGCTTTTGTTACCCTTGTTCTTGATTCCATCTCATGATGGAATTACACTTCGTTCATGGTAAAACATAATTCATTGGTTAAGATAAATATTGTACTTCTTTCTAAAAGCTATATTTAGTTGTCGTTGAATTGACCTTTATATGGCCCCTTTTGACTCAACAGAACTTACATACATTTATATGTTTTTTCATTGGCAGGACAATGAAGCCAAAAATAGTAATGGAGTTTCTACGCATGGAGATGTTAGTGTCTCAAAACCTAAAAATGGTGATATTGCTTAACTTTTAATTATTTAAAAAAGATAGCTCAGCTTCACCTAGCTTTTCATTCAATCAACCAGGCTGAACTGGCAGATCCTACCTCATGGTCAAAAGTTGACAAGTCAGGATACATAGCAAAGGAAGCATTGGGAACCAAACTAGCAGTTTCTAGAAAGAGGAAGAATAGCACGCTGGGTTCAAAGAGTAAGCGCCTAAGAATTGATAATGAAGACCTAATAGAGCTGAAACTAACATGGGAAGAAGCTCAAGGGCTTCTCCGTCCCCCTCCTAATCATGTACCCAGTGTTGTAGTGATTGAAGGTTTTGAGTTTGAAGAATATGAGGTATGGTATATCTTTTTTTAATCTGCTTCTTTTTTGACTGGTTGTAATCTGTTGTAATTGAAGTTGCTTTCGATTGTAAGTGGCAGCAATGGAAGCAACTTCTGTTTCGTCATTGTGGTGTTTGTCAATCATTTGTTGGAAAATTGAACTCCTGTTAAATGCATTTCAAGAATTTCCATGGTTGATACACTCTCGACGAAGCCGTTTAGGGTTGCTCAAGGATGTTTATACTGTTAGTTGTTTATGGATGCTACTAGACATCCAGAATAATTAGATGCAAGAACATTTTGATTCTTTCTCACTCTAGCCTTTTTCAGGCTTTTCTTCTTTTTTCTTTCTAAAGATGTGATTCCTGTTTTCTGTCTGTGATATTGTTCACTTTTCTTTAGCTAGAATGTGGGGTTTATTGTTTATAAATTAATTAATTTACCAGTTTTGGGTTGCTTATTTATATTAATTTGTTGTGTTTGTTAATAATAGGATGCACCGATTCTTGGGAAACCAACAATATTTGCAACTGATAATTCAGGGTAAATCACTTTCTCTTGGATGCTCAGGCTTTTGTTAAATAAAAATTGATTTAGTTAGTACTTGGCTATGACATGGTTAATATTGTTGATTTCTTGAAATCTGTGTAACTCCCTTATAATATTGAAATATTCTATTGTACTAACGGTGTAGTGGGTTAATCCAAATATTCTGCCAAGTCGTAATGAAAACAAAGTACAAACAGGAGTTGTCTTATTGGAATCAAGAGTTGCCTTAAACTAAGCAAATCTCAATACATGTTTCTTGTGTCAGGGAAAAGATTCAGTGGGTTCAATGTGAAGATTGTTTTAAGTGGCGCAGATTGCCTTCCAATGCTCTTCTTCCTTCCAAGTGGACATGTGCCAGTAACTCATGGGATCCAGAAAGGTAAACAGTCATTTGACAGTTTTCTCTAGTTTGCCATTGGTGACTTTGTTATGATGCTCTGATAAACTTCACAGTCATCCACTTTTATTTCTCGTCGATGGGCAACTTTGCAGTTTAGCTTTCTCAACCAAATCAGGGTTCCTTCATGTGATCCCTTCATGCAAAACAAGAGGGAAAATGAAAAAGAACCCTGAAAAAAAATCGAGAAGAACAAAAATTTAGTTTTCAATGGGCGTTGCATGAATAATTTTTTAACTACCATGCTGGCAGGTCTTTTTGTTCGGTCGCTCAAGAATTGACAGCAGAACAGCTGGAAGATCTGCTGCCACACTGTAATCCAGGTATATGTTACTTGAAGAAAATCAAATACTCGGATTTGTATGACTTACCTAGAGCAAAATAGGCTTTAGTATGAATGAATAGATTTCTTGATGATGATTTTTGTGTAAATGCTGATTCTTCTTGTTCACTTCCTAATGTGGAATTAGCAAATTGGTTTTGTGATTGTGATTGACAGCTGCTTCTAAGAAAATGAAGGCTGCTAAACAGGAACCAGAGAATGTAGATGCTTTAGAGGGGCTTGACACTCTTGCCAACCTAGCTATCTTGGGAGAAGGTGGGGCTCTCCCTGCTTCATCTCAGGCAACCACGAAGCACCCCCGGCATAGACCTGGCTGCTCATGTATTGTATGCATTCAGCCCCCAAGTGGGAAGGGCCCCAAACACAAGCAGACATGTACTTGTAATGTCTGCCAAACAGTGAAGAGACGCTTCCGCACCCTCATGCTGCGGCGTGAGAAGAAACAGTCACAGAAAGAAGCCGAAACTACACGCAAGAAGCAGCAGCCTTCATTGCCTGATAAACTATTGGATGATGACCCTCTCCCTTGCACTAATGCAGGAAATAGCAGTCCAAACCCCAAAAAGCTTGTCAGTGAGGGTTCAGATGATGATCCTAACAGGATAAAATCCTCAACTTCACCTTTTAAAGGCCAAATCGACTTGAATATCCAGCCGGAGCGAGAAGAAGAGCTGTCACCTGGTTCAGATTCTGGCAGCATGATGAGATTGCTTCAAGATGCCACTGAGAGGTACCTCAGGCAGCAAAGGATGTTGAGCTCTGGTGGCAGTAGTAATTCAACAGTTACTCAGGCACAATCCGGTGGAGGCACAGAAGGAGAAAAGACCAGCAGCAGTGTCAATCTTGGAGCCAGTCATCAAGATGCGGACAGGGACCGCACTGCAGTTTTCTCTATTAAATCGTCTGCACCCACATCAGCCACTGGGTAGATCAATGTACTACCTTATATTGACCATTAGCAAAGAATCACTGTTGGGCGGTGCAGTTTTGGTTACACATACATCCGCCTCGGCATTGTTCTTCACGGCTGTACATAAAAGAAGAGGGGGTACACGGTCGGCGACGAGGTTAAGAGACTGATAATTTTGCTGATTAGTTTTTTTTTTTATTTTAATTTTTCATCCTCTCTCCAGTATTTTAAGTGCTGACCTGCTGAAATACAAGGCAGTCGGGAAGGGTAGTGGGGTAGGGGTTTGATGATGCAAATGCAGCCCGTGGGATAGGAGGCTGAAGCTATGTAGTTTCTTTCTAGGAGCTCACCATATCCAGAAGAATTGAGGATGTAAATTAAGTGGCTGCAGGTCCAGTCAGCAAAATAGAGAAATTGCATTCTGTTCATTTTATATTGTTGTGTTGCCTTTCCTACCTTGTTGCGTGAGGTCAGATCTAAAAATGTGCTTAGGAGTAATGGAGTATAATCTTTCAAACCTCTAATGATTTTGATAATTTTGTGAATGATTTAATGAGGGAGGATCAACGGTAATTTATTGTTTTTTGTTTTTAATTGGGAGTGGAGAGATTTAAATTTGATTTTTTAAGTATGAGATTATATATTAATTAATGAATCAAATGTTCGAATGTAAATAATAATTTATTATTAAGTAGGATAAAATTACAAAGAAATAGAGAGAAAAATTCATCTTATTGATTAGTTTCTGGCAATATATACATAGTTTCTGGGTTTTTATAACACCAAATAAAGAATTGGACAGCAATTCTATGTTTAGTTTAGAGCGTATTTCTTCATTGAAGCCGATTCACACCTCCCCTGCATTCATAGCGCTGGATTCAAGTTGATGTATGGGTCTAAACCTGGAAGGAATAGATTAAACATTGGCATTTGGTTGCTTAGAGCTAGAGGATGTGATGGATTCATGGATGGGAAAAAGGATGACCAGGTCAAACAAGCTATCTTAGTATCCACTGAAAAAGGGAGTGTCATTGATCATCCTGAAACCTACAAAAGAACGCTTTTTTTAGATTAGCTATTATTCTCAATTAACCTTGTGCCTCTAATACCTTCATTTCTTACCAAAAATACGAGAAATCAGCCTTTGTTTCTTGGTTGGTGGCAGTTTTCCCTTTTGTCACCGCCTCTTTTCCTCCTAGTTCGCCAATAGCAGATGGTGAAGAGGAAAGACAAAAGCCTCCCCCAAGTCTCCCAGAAACTCCAAATGCAGTAAGAAAGACATTACAAATTAATACTAGATTAGTAGTTCATACAGCAGCTTCATCAATCCTGAAGCCATTGAAAGAAAAGGGGAGTGATTTATAAGGTTGTGTCAAAATGAATGATTTGATCTCGAGTTCGTTCAAGAAATACACAGACCTGAAGCAACAGGCCTACCTGGACGACATGGAAGCAGGTAATGAGAGCGTTAATCTCGATAAATTCTTTGAAGATGTGGAGAATGTGAAGGAAGACATGAAGAATGTGGAACGGCTGTACAAGGCATTACAGGAAGCCAATGAAGAGAGCAAAACCGTGCACAATGCGAAGACCATGAAGCAACTACGTGCCCGAATGGACACGGACGTTGAGCAGGTCCTTAAAAGAGTCAAAATCATCAAGGGGAAGCTTGAAGCTTTAGAACGTTCCAATGCAGCTAGTCGAAGCATTCCAGGTTGTGGTCCTGGATCGTCTGCGGATAGAACCAGAACCTCAGTGGTTAGTGGCTTGGGAAAGAAACTGAAAGTTTTGATGGATGATTTTCAAGGACTGAGGTCAAGAATGCAGTCAGAATATAAAGAAACAGTGGAACGCAGGTATTTTACCATCACGGGGCAGAAGGCTGATGAAGACACGATTGAGAATTTGATATCGAGTGGTGAAAGCGAAAGCTTCCTGCAAAGGGCCATCCAGGAACAAGGAAGAGGTCAGATTATGGATACCATATCCGAAATTCAAGAAAGGCATGATGCTGTTAAGGAGATAGAGAAGAACTTGATCGAACTCCATCAGATATTCCTGGACATGGCTGCCCTTGTGGAAGCTCAGGGTCACCAACTCAACGACATCGAAAGCCATGTTGCTCATGCCAGTTCCTTTGTCAGACGAGGTACTGAAAACCTTCAGGAGGCTAGGGAATATCAGAAGAACTCAAGGAAGTGGACGTGTATTGCAATTCTTGCTGCTGCTGTCCTCATTTTTGTCCTCCTTTTACCACTCTTACCAACAATTATAAATCTCTTGTAGGAAGTCAAAAAGGAACAAAAAAGCAAAATTTTCTCTACTTGAGATGTATTCTGATTTTCAGCCTAAAAAACTTCAGTTTAGTTCGTACATATAACAAGTTTCAGAAACTATTTGTTTCTTCTCACATGAGAAAACAGTGTCCTAGACAAGAGTTTTTCACATAAAAAATAGCACAATTAGATATGGAAAGCTGGGGAAATTCCTTCAACTTGGGGTATTCTTGCTTCTTCTATCCACTCATAGTTGGAATCCAACAAAGTTAAGGGCCAATCAGTATGGTGAGGTGATTTTGTGCGACAGAATCCCACCAAAGGAAGTTTTGAGTCAATATTGTTGCGTGGGTGGTTACAAGGACATATCATCCAACTTTAAACAGCTGTTTGACATCCCTTTTTGAATGAAATTTCACTGGTTTTCTTTTTCCTTGTCCATTTAATCCAATAATAAATCTTTGGTACACCCAGTTCATTTACACTACAAGTGAAGGCCTCCAATCCATATGTCTGAAAATAGGCTTGCCTAATCTTTCATTAGACAAGAATATTCATGCCCTTTGGGAAATATATAGAAAGAGGCATTCAGAATCAGCTTGATCTCAAGAAAGCAAGCACCAAAGGCCACTGACAATCTTGAACAACCCAATATGCTGGCGAAGGAGTGGAATTGCAGTCAGAAACCTTAAAGAGTGTTCCTGTATATCCTGTCACTTTCTGTTTTGTTGTTCATGATGGTGAATGAGCTACTGCCCGTACTGTTCTGGTTTGGTTGATTCTGGTTTGCAGGTGGAGATATTGATGGTTGGTTTTGTGTACAGACTGATGTTTTGAGTAGCTTTGTCTCACCTGAGTTTTAGTTAGGTGTATGGGTTGTTTTTGTTTTGTACATGGAATAGGGAGTTAGGTCCTTCCGCCGGTATTGTATCAGGAGCAGGGGGGCTGTTTTTGTCTGGTTTCGTTTTATGTATACGTCTCAAAGGACAGCAGGGGGGTATTGCGTGGAGGCAGTTCAAAGGGATATTGGGGGGTATACCCAGCATGTTAGGGGTATACTGACCAACATTCTTCGTTCTGGACCTGCAACCTGCTGATGTTCTGAGTAAGGGAAAAATTTCATTCCAATCGAATTAATGAAATCTAACATACGACTTTCCAAAGAAAATCTTAAACAACCCTATAGACACAAGGATGAAATAAATTACACCAAAAACCACATCAAGCAGTGGGAGAACTTCCTCATACTCAACAAACACACAAGGAAAGCTGGAAAGGCCAAGCTTAACCATCTCCAGCCTATTCCCTACAAGTCCAAAACATCTTAAATCAAACACAGAGAAATGCCTCATTTCTTAGGCCTTGAACTGCAGAATTTCCAGTACCTGTGCTGTAAGTGTTGTTGCTTTATTCCATCTATGGAAAAAGAATGCCAGCCCTTGAATGGGATTATAATTGGATTCAAAACTTTCACTCAGCTAAGTTGTATAGAAAATAAACATACAGGATAATAATCACTAATGCACGATGACAACAAACTACCACGGTGAAAAACAATTGGCGAATGAATATATTAATATTACAAAACCAAATCAAAGCACAAATTCATTCTCATAGGATGACACAATAAACAATTTCTCCACAATCAGCACATGATAGAAATCCAATCATTCCCAGAATGTATACACTGTTACCAAATTAATAATCCTTTCCAGATATCACTGGGAATCCAGAAGTTTGCAGCACTAAACAAAAAAAAAACACTGTATATTGGATTACTTCAAGGACCAGCATTAGGCAAAGCTGCCATAAATGAATTATATGAAGATTCCAAGTCAAAGTGGAGCTGCCTAGCTTGCTGCTCTGTTAGCTCATCTGCTGCCCCCATCTTTGACAACCTTGAAATCCATTCCTTCATCTTTGTCTTCCCCTCGAAATCAGGTGGCAAAATACTCAGCTTATTAAGTGACGCTGAGAGGTCGGATAAGAGAGGATGCACTTGATCAACCGCCACCATATTGAGTTTCAATGAATCCATGGCAGTAATAAAATTCTGCACACATTCAGCCACAATGGCAGCTGAGGTAGTAGCAGAAGCAGCTGCAGCAGCCCGGTGCTCCACAGTGGCAGGCACCCCAGAGGTAACCAGCCGATTTATAGCAGCCGGGCAGTCCATTTTATACGTATCAGCAAAGCGTTCAATGCTAGGGACCGTGTCTTTCAGTGTGGAAGCTAAGGTTTTGAAATGGGCAATAAGCTTTTGGCACTCAGTTTCATATTCAGATGATGTAATGATATCCCTCACATAAGCCTTCTCAAGCTTCTCTGTTGCTTTGATAATGGCATAAAGCTCAGCAAAATTCTCGTACATTTCTCTCTCGCGCTTGTCGTTCCATAGCTTAACCTCCATTCAGGCAAGACTTGATATATTATACTGAATAAAAGGGGCAACTTGGGATAAAATAGGATGGTGTTTTGAGTTGTTGAATTGGAGGATTGGAGAAGAGAACGGGACACGCGCAAAGAGACCTAAACTTTATTCACTGTCAAACAATAGAATCAACAAAGAGAGCAAACAGCTAATCAGATTACTATTCGTTCATCATCAATAAAGATTCTATTTTTCTGCAAATCACATAATCCCAACAAATATTAAAATCGTTATACCAAACGAAAAAGAAAGATACCCAAAACGAAAAACATCAACTTTATAAATTCTTCATCATCAAACATGGAAAAGATCAAAACTTTAACGTTGTTCTCTAGTTCTATCTGATTCCTTAAGCAACCGAACAGAAAACCAACAAAAGATAAAACGCTAAGAACCTAACAAAGAGACGATCAAGAACAAAAACTTGCAAGGAACCCAATGAAAACTTCTTACCTTAGTTCATCCCAAAACGAGTAAAGCCCTAACAGAATTTTATGTTCACGGTGCAAAATTATAGAAGAAAGGAGAATTAAGACAAAAATAAAGGGTCGTCTTCTTATATTATATATATATATATATAAACAAATAAATAGCTTTCAAAAATATATATAGAAACAAATAAATAAGAAATTATGAATGGAGTGGGGGAGAATTGGCAATAACTTACAAAGAAGTGAAACGCGGCTTCGAATGTCGTGCAGAGGTATGGCGTTGCTTGCAGCAGAGAGACAGAGAAACGGAGGGATTGCGTGTGGTGTGGAATATATTATTGGGTGCTTACGGCATCTACGTGTAGCAGTTGGGAATGACCCTGAAAAAGTAAAAAGCTTCCCCTCCCTCTCCCTACCCCTTCCCCTCTATTGCATTATATCGTATAATGTGTAGTCAAGTTGTAGGATTGCCTTTTCTTTTTTTAATAAAATAATCAAATCTTATTAAATTTTAACATCATAATTTATAGATATAATATTTAAAAAATTTCTAAATTATTTTAAAAAGTTTTATTTTTTATTATATTTAATTAAATTAATAATTAATTAATTATAATTAATTAAAATATTATTATTTTATATTATGTAATATTGACACGATGATATTATTATATAATATTTTTATTTTATTTTATTATTTTATGAATATTAAAATAATAAATAATATTTTAATTAATAATTATTAATTATAAAAATTTATTGTACTTAAAATAAAACTATAGTACCATAATTGCATATAATAAAAGAATTAAGATGCTATTTAAATTTTTTTGCACAATTTAAAAATTTTTTAAAACATCATATATAATGTATATATTAAACCAAATTAAATGAGTTTTAAAAATAAAAAATTTGTCTATATTCATAATATTGATTTAATTTGAACTTAAATTTAAAATTTTAAGTACGTTGGTATTTGAAATTTATAATTTTTTCAAAATTTTAATATCTTAACATCAATTATTTAGTGTTTTAATTTTATTTTTTTAAGGGTTACCATATATGAGTTCGAGGAAGAAAAAATTAAGCATTAAGTAAAAGAAATTTAAACTCGGAAATTGCACAATGGATTATTTGAAGATGGGCCATGAAGGATTAATCGGAGCCCATTTAGATTGGTTGTTAAAATCCAATGGACCACATTCAATGGGCTATTGGGCCCATTTCTCAAATCTTGAAGAGGGTTAACCGAACCCGATTCCAGCCCTAATTCCTGAACTCAGTAAACCACCGCTACAAGCCTACGACTAACGTAAAAACCTGCGGGATCCTTAATACGACACCGTCACTTAACTCTTCTTTTTGGGCGCCATCCCATCTCATCTCTTTCTTCCACTTTCCCTGCTCCAAATCGGGAGTTTCCCCCAAAATTCTTACTCCTCCTCGACCCGGCAATTCTCTCAACTCGATGAACACTAATAGGGCCCTCTTGTAATCGACTGCTATTCATCGAATTGAAGCATAATTCTCAAATCTATTTTTTTTCCTTTGTTCAGCAACGTACAACACTGCCGAAGTTTTACACTCAGGTTAGTAGAGCATTTTCTTTTTAGGGTTTAATCGTTTTCTTATTGAATGTCGTTGCCAAAGGAGCTATACCCATCCCAAGATGATCTTCTCTACGAAGAAGAACTTTTGAGAAACCCGTTCAGTTTAAAACTGTGGTGGAGGTATCTGATAGCTAGATCAGATGCTCCTTTCAAGAAAAGATTTGTAATTTATGAACGAGCTTTGAAAGCTTTACCTGGTAGTTACAAGCTTTGGCATGCTTATTTGCGGGAACGTCTCGAAATTGTTCGGAATTTACCCGTCACTCACCCTCAGTATGAAACCCTTAATAATACTTTCGAGAGAGCGCTTGTTACAATGCATAAGATGCCTAGGATTTGGATAATGTACTTGTTGACATTAACGGAACAGAAGCTGATTAGTAAGACACGTAAGACGTTTGATAGGGCGCTCTGTGCTTTACCAGTGACTCAACATGATAGGATTTGGGAGCCTTATTTGGTTTTTGTGAGTCAAAAGGGTATCCCCATTGAGACGTCACTTAGGGTTTACAGGAGGTATTTGAAATATGATCCTAGTCATATTGAGGATTTTATTGAGTTTTTGGTGAATTCAAGTCTGTGGCAAGAAGCAGCTGAGAGGTTAGCATCTGTTTTGAATGATGATCAGTTTTATTCGATAAAGGGTAAAACTAAGCATAGATTGTGGTTGGAGTTGTGTGATTTGCTAACAACGCATGCCACAGAGGTTTCAGGGCTCAATGTGGATGCAATAATCAGGGGTGGGATTAGGAAGTTTACCGATGAAGTTGGGAGACTTTGGACCTCTCTTGCTGATTATTACATCAGAAGAAATCTGTTTGAGAAGGCCAGGGATATTTTTGAGGAGGGAATGACAACAGTGGTTACGGTTAGGGACTTCAGTGTCATATTTGATGCTTATTCACAATTTGAAGAGAGCATGGTGGCTCTCAAAATGGAGAGCTTGGATTTGAGTGATGAGGAAGAAGATGGTGATGTTGATGTTGAGGAGGATGAACATGAAGAAGACATCCGTTTGGACATTGATCTGTGCAAGTCAAAATCCAAGTTTGAGAAGCATATATTTAAAGGGTTTTGGTTACAGGATGATAAGGATGTAGATTTGAGGCTGGCGGTTAGAGCATTTGATGAATAGAAGGCCAGAACTGGCTAATAGTGTCCTTCTACGCCAGAATCCGCATAATGTGGAGCAATGGCATCGTAGGGTCAAGTTATTTGAGGGGAACCCCACCAAGCAAATATTGACATACACGGAGGCAGTTAGGACAATTGACCCAATGAAAGCTGTCGGAAAACCCCATACTCTGTGGGTGGCTTTTGCGAAGCTTTATGAGACTTACAAAGATCTGGCCAATGCTCGTGTCATTTTCGATAAAGCTGTCCAAGTAAATTACAAGACTGTTGATCACCTGGCAAGCGTATGGGCTGAGTGGGCAGAGATGGAACTGAGGCACAAGAATTTCAAAGGTGCACTTGAGCTGATGAGACGTGCCACAGCTGAGCCTTCTGTTGAGGTCAAACGTAGAGGTAATCCTTGTTCTGTTGCATGAGCAAATGATATCTGAATTCAAAGTTAGGTTCTTACATTCCTCTTGGCATGCATAGCTTCGTATCCTATTCTTTTCCATCTCAGGGTCTTTAAACCTTTTTTGTCTTTTTGAAAATAATGAGACCAGTGTAATCTGTGGTAAGTAAGGAAAAGAGATTATATTAAAAGAATCATTTTTTAAAAAATTATTTGGTAACTTATCTTCAAACTTATTAAGCTTTAGGAGAAAAGAAGTTAAATCTTCAACCATGGGTTATTTCTGGAACTAACAAACTCATGATCCTTTGGTCTATTTTGTTGTTTGCAGTTGCTGCTGATGGAAATGAACCTGTTCAGATGAAGCTCCATAAATCCTTGAGGCTCTGGACATTCTATGTGGACTTGGAAGAAAGCCTGGGTACTTTGGAGTCAACACGAGCAGTCTATGAGAGAATACTAGATCTAAGAATAGCTACACCACAAATTATTATAAACTATGCATTTTTGTTAGAGGTGAAAACAGTTCTCCTGTACTTCCGTTTCTGCACTCTGTTAAATTTTTTCCTTAAATGGTTTGATGGACTAACAACAACTATGCTTTTCTAACTTGTGCAGGAGAACAAATATTTTGAAGATGCTTTCAAAGTGTATGAAAGAGGTGTCAAGATATTCAAGTATCCTCATGTGAAGGATATATGGGTTACGTATCTGTCAAAGTTTGTAAAGAGATATGGGAAAACAAAACTGGAACGAGCAAGGGAGCTCTTTGAGCATGCTGTTGAAACGGTATGCACATTATGATTTTTTTACCTAAACTGTATATTTGACTCGAATGATGCTCTGAATTATCAATGATCTATGATGCTGATTTTAACATCAATATTTCCTCATTTTTATCAGGCACCTGCTGATGCAGTAAAACCCCTGTATCTTCAATATGCAAAGTTGGAGGAGGATTATGGGCTTGCAAAGCGAGCTATGAAGGTCTATGATCAAGCAACTAAGGCTGTTCCAAATAATGAAAAGCTTGGCATGTATGAGATTTACATTGCCCGTGCGGCTGAAATCTTTGGTGTGCCAAAAACAAGAGAAATTTATGAGCAGGCAATAGAGTCTGCTCTTCCTGATAAAGATGTGAAGACAATGTGTTTGAAATATGCAGAGTTAGAAAAGAGCTTAGGAGAAATTGATCGTGCTCGTGGAATATATGTATTTGCATCTCAGTTTGCAGATCCACGCTCTGATGCTGATTTTTGGGATAAATGGCGAGAGTTTGAGGTGCAACATGGAAATGAAGATACCTTCAGAGAAATGTTGCGGATTAAACGGAGTGTTTCTGCAAGTTATAGCCAGGTAAGGCTTTTTTTTATATATTTTTTTACTTTCAGACAACATAAAAGCATAAGTTAAAAGGACAAATGGTGTCCAATATTTAGCTCTTCTGCTTTCAGAAATGACACTTGTTTGGACAAATGGAGAGAGTAGGTTTGTCACTGTTAATATCTATTGGAATATCGCTGAAATAAGTAATGGCATGCATTATGCATTTTATGATAAATGTCTGAAGTTTTCAATTGCTGCTACCTACTGAGTTTTGCACATTGTCATCAGTTATGGTCCCTAGGGTAAAATGTCTTAACACCTTTGTTAGTATATGTTCTCTATAGATCAGTTATCATCTAAGGACTTGATTCTAGTTCCTTTTTCCTTCTGCTGCTGGCTACCTTGACAGGAAGCTATTTGTGTTGGTGTAAATAGACAGATGTTTCCGAGTTAACATGCATTGATATATCAATTACATGTATTAGTATCGGATTTTATACTTGTTCTTGCGTTATCAGGAATGCTCAAGTTGAGACTTGTAATTTCGGAACTCCAGATTCTAACTCTCATTGTTTCTGTTCTTCCAGACACACTTCATTCTACCAGAGTATCTGATGCAGAAAGATCAGAACATCGATGAAGCTAAGGAAAAATTGAAACAGGCTGGTATCTCTGAGGATGAAATGGCTACTCTTGAGAGGCAGTTGTTACCTGCAGCTAATGACAGCTCTAGAAAAGTAGGCTTTGTGAGTGCCGGAGTCGAGTCACAGGCAGATGGAGGGATGAAAACAACAGCAAATCATGAAGATATTGAGTTGCCTGAAGAAAGTGATTCTGAAGATGAAGAAAGAGTTGAAATTGCACAAAAAGATGTTCCATCTGCGGTGTTTGGAGGTCTTGTACGGAAGAGGGAAGACGGTGACAAAGATGGAGGTGGAGTTGATGTCTCAGCTGCCAAAGACAAAGATGGTGAGAGCCGTCTGGGTGCACTTGAGCGAATTAAAAGACAGAAGCGAGCTTAAAATTTGTGTCATATTTTGAGCATTTGTATATTTCGATCTAATCTATTAAGTTTTGGGATTCTTTCTTTTATTTTAATATGGTCTATTACACTATTACTGATGAATCTAAGTGACAACTTACTTTAGAGTCATCAACAAAAAAGACAGAACACAGATGGACTTTCCCTTATTTTCTTGTGTTCTGTTATAGCAGCATATTTTCACCTTGATCAATTATTACATAGAAAGGCATTGAAATACTGAAGGGAGTCATGGTCGAGGTGAATCTGCACGGTTCAAACTAAAGGATATTGGCGCAGATAAATATTTCTTAGGCCTTGAGATTGCACGATCACCTACCTATCAAAAGAAATTGACTTTGGAAACATGGGTTTCATGGGACAAAACCAGTCACAACCTTTATGGATTATAATCACAAATTAAGCAAGATCAGGGATGAAGATAGATTGACTGATCTTACAAGTTATAGGCAATTGATTGGGAAATTATTGTACCTGACCTTTGTTAGGCAAGATATATCTTATGCAGTGCAAGTTGTCTCAATTCATTGGCGAACCTGAACATGAACATCTCGCGGAAGCAGCACCAGGTCAAGACATCTTGAAGAAATCAAATTGCAATTTGTGTATTTCTGCTTACTTAGTGAATCCGTGGAACGAGCAAGGGAGCTCTTTGTGCATGCTGTTCGAATGGTATGTACGTCATGATCTTTCTACCTAAACTGCATATTTGACTTGAGTGATGCTCTGAATTATCAATGATCTATGATGCTGATTTTAACATCAATTTTTCCTCATTGTTATCAGGCACCTGCAGATGCAGTAAACCCCCTGTATGTTCAATTTGCAAAGCTGGAGGAGGATTATGGGCTTGCAAAGCGAGCTATGGAGGTGTATGATCAAGCAACTAAGGCTGTTCCAAATCATGAAAAGCTTGGCCTGTATGAGATTCACATTGCCCGTGCAGCTGAAATCTTTGGTGTTCCAAAAATTAGAGAAATTTATGAGCAGGCAATAGAGTCTGGTCTCCCAGATAAAGACACGAAGACAATGTGTTTGAAATACGCAGGGTCAGTAAAGAGCTTAGGAGAAATTGATCGTGCTCGTGGAATATATGTATTTGCATCTCAGTTTGCAGAACCATGCCCTGATGCTGATTTTTGGGATGAATGGCGAGGGTTTGAGGTGCAACATGGAAACGAATATACCTCCACGGAGTGTTTCTGCAAGTTATAGCCAGGCAAGCTTCTACCGCTGCTGGCAACCTTGACAGGAAGCTGTTTGTGTTAAGTCATGGTATTGGTGTAGATCGATAGTTGTTTCGGAGTTAACAAGCGCTGACATGTCAATTACATGTCGTTGTTCTTGCATAATCGTGACTGATCCAAGTTGAAACTTGCAGTTTCTGAACTCTAGATTCTAATTCTCTTTCGTTTTATGCTCTTCCAGGCACATCCAATGAAGAGAAAAAGAGCGAAGTGATGCCATTATGAGAGACGCATGCTCCAATTTCCATTGACAAAGAAAGGTTAAGCTGGAGTTCTTCAACTTGAATTGGGGCCTACGTAGTTCAATTATAGTCTTCTCTGACAATTAATACACCAAGCTTTAAGATACAGCAATGCTTTGCCGCAAAGCTTGACCTTTAAGAAGAGTTAATGCTAGTGCCATGAAACGAATGATTGCAAGCCTATCTCATAGGCAAACATTTCTTAATTTCATGAACATCAAAATTGATTGGTTTCAGTTAATTATAAAAAAAAAATTAAGATAAATATTAAGATAAATTCTACTTATCACTTAATAGATTTTAATTCTTTTCACATGACAGTTTGTAATTACTTTTTTCCTGATTAATGTTTTATGGATAATTTTGTTATTATAAGATATTCGATTGTTAATTTTATTTAATAAATTTATAAAAAAACTCTTAAAAATTTACAAATAATTATCTTTAAATAGAAGTATTTTGTTAATATTATTAAGTAAAATTAACGGTATAATTTCTAAGAGAATAAAAATTATTCAAGTTATGTAAATTGATTAAAAAGAAAAAGAGTAAAACTCCCTCATCCTTAAATTATAATAAAAATTTTAAATAAATTTATTAATTTTTAAAATAAACACTCTACCCCAATAAAAAACTTTTCCTAAATATATAAGTCTAACGATTAGTCATTGATAGTATATTCATTAATTGAATGACATAATAATATTAAAAATAAAATTTTATTTTTAAATAATTTTAAAAATTATTATTATATAATTTTATTAATTTAAAAAAAACACTCGAAGCTCCCTCCCAAGGGAGCATTGGGTGTCCTGCAAGTGTAAAGTAGGCCACCAATCGACTTGAGAAAAAAAAATAAGAAAAATATTTATTTAAAAATTAATAAATATTTATATAATTTTGATTAAAATTTAAAAATATAAAAATCAGCACAAGGTTTATAGTATTTTATATGAAAAATTGAAATAAAAAAATATAGATTGAATATACCCTACAAATGGGGGTACTCATCACTAATCCAATCAAACTCTATTCAAGTATTACAATCATGTTTAATTTAAGGTGACGTTAAACCTAGAGCTGGAAGTGCTGAAAAAGGACAAGATCACATGTCTTTTCGGTCACAAACAGTTGCAATACCGGGATCAAAACATCTGGCAGTCGGGCCCCAATCCTTACTACCCCATGTTCTAGGTGTCACCATGGGTGTAGACAATGACCTTGCAACACTATTATTCTTTAGGGATCCCACATATTCTTCTTATTATCAACATTGGCATTAAATGGAAATCTTCTGTTCATCTTCATTTCATAAAAGTAAACGTAAATCAAGCAAAGAAAATGATGGATTCAGTAGGAAAAACACTGCTGATTGTCTTCATTTATACAAGACATTAGTTCCTATGATCCTACTAACATTCAAACCAGCTGTACCATAAAATCTGCAGCACAAAAAAGGGAACAAGGAAGCAACACCCTATTTTTTCCCTACTCCAACCTTTTTAATTTGTTGGAGAAGACATATTTCTGACAATTAACAAACATATATTTCTTTTTTCTGTTCTTTGTTTTTTTTTTTTTTTGGGTTATGATCCTCAAAACACAAGCTTTACCTATATAATGGACCCATGATTAGTGGCTAACTTCCACGGTTGATCATCTCCATGTACTGATTGAGTGACTCTTGCCTCTGCAACCTCATCTCGTCATTGAACTTCTTTATAAACGCTTCCACTCGACGGTTCAACTCGTCCTGACTCAGAGACGGCTCTTTCCTCAGCTTTTCTGAAGCCGGAGAAGAGGTGTCTTGTACCCGTGGCGGCTGGTAATTGGTCCGGTCTCTGAACGTTTCCGATTTCTTCACCAAAGGAGAGTCGGCTAATGCTTCCACGTTGATATCACGGCCGTGGTTCTCCCACGTGTCCGACTTCTTCAAGTGCCTCGTCAACGGCATTGCTCTCCCTTCCGTTATCATCTTCCACGTGTTCTCCAGCGTCTCATGGCGTTTAGGCTTCGCCACTCTCAACGCTCGGCCACCTGCATTAACCGCAGATAATTAAGTAAAATCACCATTTTTTTATATTTATAATCCTTCTTAGTTACGTAATTTAGATATTTTAAATTTCATCGTCAAGTAGAAAAAGACTATTTAGTCCTTCTTCGGTGGCGCGTCAAGTAGACGCCATTTTTGAACTGAGCAAAACGGCACCAGTGCATTTAGAAATGCGATAGAACAGCAAACACGTGGATAAAAAGCTCAAACGCAACTGCAGAGGCGCCGAACCGACCAAAAAGCGTTTTTCTGAGTTATTTTCGAATTCCGAGACTTTGGATATTGACAAAATCTAACCGTTAACATATTTATAAATAAAATATTAATATTATTAGATAGAAGAATGCTGGAAATATACCTTCAGGATTGGCTTTAACAGGTTTCCGGTGACCGAACCTAGAAGCAGCAGGAGGTTTGTCGGTCGGCGAAAGAATATCCGATGGAATCTCCGAAGATCCCATTCTCCTTGGAGGAATCCACTCCGACTTGGAGATAGCAAACTCGTCGCCTCCATCTCCAACATCTTCAACCGCCGCATTGCTCTCCTCCTCAAAACCCCTCATTTCCACCTCTTCTACTGTCTGCTTTTGCTCGTACACCAGAGCACTGGATTCTACTACACCGAAGTCCAAGCCACTCTTCATCTCGTCCTCGAAATCTGGCCCTTGATCCACCGAGATCTTCGACCTCCGCTGCATCTGCTCCGTCTGATCTTTCTCGCCGGTTTTTATATAAAACCGAGACGATGCTGCAATCGTGATAATGATTCCATTGATGATGACGTAAAGATACGGAGGCTTGAGCCAAGAACGGAACGTGCTCCATAACAACGGAGCTTGAGAAACCGAGAATTCCAAAACCAATGGAACAGAGACTTTGAGTCCAAAAGCTATAGCCAATATACCAATAGAAATAAACAGTACCTTCAGCGACAAAATCCAAGTGCTAGTCGACGCCATTTTTACAGGTTCAACAAAAAAAAAAAACCCTTTGTTTTTGTGTTCTGTTTTTGAAAGTTAAAAGGAGGTTTCTTTGGGGAGAGGACAGAGAGTAACGAGTGAGGTGAACTGCAATATATAGAGGGAGCGTGGGAACAGTTTTTGATTGAATCTAGGCCGCTAGATTTAAGAGAAAAAGTGAACTCGACGGATGGGATTCGTTAGACGTGTGAGTGCGTGGGGTGGTTTGGGAGGTTCCATAGTGGGCGTATAAGAATATCTGTGGTGGGGGCCCAGGTGGCAAAAGGCAACTAAATCACTTAATATTTTTTTTAAAAAAAGATAAGGTCAGGGTTAAAATGAAGCTTTCCTTGTTCCTGTTTAAGTGGACACCCATATAAAATTTGATCCTTCCGGAAGTTACCATCATAATTATGTTGTTTGACAATGAAGTTACCTTCTCAATCAATCACACCGTCACTTCCTATTCACTAATTACTCTACACTCCTTTTTTTTTCTCAATCAAATTTCAAATTATCAATTTTACCATTATTATTTTTTAATCCTAATAATTAATCACCTCTTAAGTAAGTGTTTAAAAGGATTTACCTAATATATCTTAAACTGGCATTAATTGTTTTATAATTATTAATATTCTCAACTAAATTTTCATAAAAAAAATAAAAATATAAACAAAACCCGATCGAGCTTCTTTCTCCTCTCGACTTTCATTAAATCACCTGCACTCCTTCCTATTGAGTTCGAAGCTTTCATCTCTTTTTCCTTAATTTATTTTGTTAATAATTTACTTATCTGTTGAAAAATGTTAAAATTAACCTTTTATATTCTATGGTTCCCAAGACAAAAGGAACATTATTTGATTAATAAGAATTTTTGTTTTTAATTTTGGAGAATGGCTAATTTTATGTTTGGAGCATATGGTTGGAAGCTAGTTAATATCAAAAGACCGTGCGGCCAACCAAGTAATAATGGAGGGCAGAGGTTTCAAGAATTAATACCTATTAAGTGAGTAATCTTTATTGAGAATGTAAAGGGAGAACTGCTGTTTCAGGAATTTGGCAGATTATTATAAAAGCAAATTGGGGAATAAAGTGGTAGTAAAGAAAATTTTTGAATTATTTAAAGTAGAATAGAGACCATATACTTTTATGTCCAACGGTCATATTTTTGACCGTTACCCACGCAAGTTGTACCAAGATCCTGAAGCGCTGATCCAGTGGGTGCGGAGGGGGTTCGCACCTTGGGCATGTGCCCCACAGCGCGGTGGGTGTACCACTGGACCGACCAACCCTTTTTTGTACAAGCTGAGATAAAACCTTGACGATTTTATGCAAAAGCCTGGTTCTTATAAAGAAAGAACGATGGGAAAGGTTAGTAATGAAACAGTGTGGCTCTGTCCTACCAATTCATTTCCACTTAGTAAAAGATTGGCTCCTAAAGGATATGAGCTGTCTGACCCCCAAACGTACTAAACCCCATCATGCTTTCTATCTTTCCTTCTTCCTCCTCTTCTATTTTCCCCTTTTAATCAGGCTTTTTATGAGTACGTTGCTTTGGTCTTTAAAAATATTTGCTCAAACTTTTGTGTTAACGTCCGTGCTAGGCTCACATGTCGATTTACATTTTCTAAGATTTAGATGCAAATATCTGACTTATATATACTTTTTTCGTCTCATTTTTTTTAATATGAGTTTGTAAGTCTTGTGTATTATGAGATAAAGACAGAGATATGGCTAAGTGGTCTTCACTATCTCGAACCATCATTTTTGAGTCCCACCCTTAAAATTGAGTGCTTTTTCTTCCTTGCACTAAGCCAAGATATTAAAACCGACAATGACAATTAACAAAGACTTTGAAGGTAGGACATAGGCCATGTTTATCGGTGATCAAAATTTATATTATATGCTCACAATCAATATATATCAAGGCAGCATGATGAGGCCCCATAATGATCAATAACATCAATATGGAACTTAGAATTGAGACATGGTGCGTTTCTCTTTCTGCCCTGCTTGGTCGAATGGGGGTTAAACAGTTCGGTTGAGCCCGATATTTTCCAAGTACATGTCAAATAATGTCCAAGAACAATAAAGTGTGAACCACCATTGTCTTTGTTTATAGCAAGAACATTAAATTAATTAGATTTCAACCCTTTAATTATTCCATTTTCGTGACATTTCATCCATAATTTTGTTTGTTGGCGACAAAACACCTGTCGCAATTTAAATGCATGAATTTCGAAGTCTAACTATATATATTATAATTCTTAATCAATTGAGAATTATTTTTATAAAACAATTATTATTCGTGAATCTAAAATCGAATCTGACCCTATAATTAAAGTTTTCTGCTATATCATAAATTTAAGAATAAACCCTATGCAGAGTAGCGAAATGATGTGACCCCATCATATCACAAGGAAATTTGCTTTCCTTTAATTACTAAAAATGAAAAGAATTTTCACTCAAAAGATCTACGTGGGCAAGTCTTATTGGTCAAGATATTAAGGTCAACCATAAAAATATTACAGACGAAATTGCATGTGCCCCTACGTATGCTTATCTTTCATGCAAATATGACTACATATGTAGCTAGTAATTTCATATAATATCGTCTTAACCAAGCTAAAGAAACTTTTACCTTTCCGCCAAAGATCAAAGCTATGAGATTGGAGACCTTTTGTTGGCCGTGTTTCGTGCCATCCGTTTGCATGCAATTTGCAGTTTAAGGATAAGACATGGAACCTTGCTGATTAAGACATTCAGTATCGGTCGTTTTTCAGATGTAACATTTGTCATGTTCTTTCTAGATTAATGCTGTGCTAAGCTCAGAAATTAACGGTCCAAAAAGGATTAAGTAAAGATTAATGAATCTGAAAAGGGCAGAAAAAAACCGATTGCTTTCGGCCTAAACGCGTGTCGGAGAAGGAGACAAATTGTCGGTCCACTTGATATTCCTAGCGTTTTAGGATTAAGACTGCAGGGAACAGATAGAGTTGACTCCATTAATCAAGGTCTAGAGAAGAAGAAAGCGCAGGGTAGTTGTATTAATAATAAAAAAAAATTCCTTTTCAAGCGAAAGGGTATGGGAGATTTGGATTAGATCATTCTGGATGTTACTGTAGAAGGATTTTTTGGCTATGTATTTTTGTGGAAAAACAAGGCTGCAAATTGGTATGTGTACGCATCAGAGATGATACCAGTAGCAAAATGGATACTTGGAAGTTGGAACATATTCCTTTGGCTCTTTCTACCTCAATTATATGAGAGACCCAGTACTATTTTTTACTTGGAGCAATATTTATTTGGTTGATTATCATTGGTTAAAAGAGCATAAGGAGCTTCTGGCATGACGTTAGTGATGGTTTATGTTCTTGTCTTCTTGTGAGTTAGGCCCTCCTCTCCAAAGGATTGCAGGCTATTCTATTGGAGTTTTCCCATCACTTTCCTGTTGGTTTTGAGAATCTCTCTCTCTCTCGTGACTTGGGCCATTTCTTGGTTAAAAGAGGAATCAACGCAGTTCTCCGACTAAACAGCTCTAATCACTCCATTAATGGTGGTTAGATATGTTCCTTCCTTGTTTATTATTAATTGACCAGCTCTATCGACATTCTACAAATTAAAGGAAAAGGTAATTAAGTTCATTTTATATTAATGTTGCCCACTGTCATGGCAAACTTCAGCTCTAAGCTAGCATCATAAATTAAGTATTATATTTATTGCAAGAAAAAAAAAATGAAAATGAAAGTTTACAACGGTAAACATGCATATTAAATTGTCTACAGTTGGGTTGGCAAGATAATGTTAAGGATAATGCAGTATATGTCCCACAGATGACCACGACTAACGCCTGGGAAGTTAATGTTTCTTCAATTGATTCCATGTTAGCTTGTTTGTTCCAAAAAGTGCAATAAAGAAGAGAAAGAAAAAGAATTGCAGATGAATCGAAAGGTTGTTGTGGGACAGTGCAGTTGATCAGACAGAGACGGTTTGGATGAATTCCCCCAAATGGAAGAAACATCCTGGAAATTACATCTCAGAACGATAAGGTTGTAGTCTTAATTGTTGATAGCCGTTTTCACCAAGTAATCAGACAAAAACGTTTTAACCGTTCAAGTTCTGGACGGTGGTGGGAGTAGATAAGTCAACAAAATTGGAGAATCCTGACTGGTTGGTTCAAGTAGAGACAGTTCGCCATAGAATGTTTTTTTATTCCCCTGGTGATGACAATTGGTGCGATGACAGGCTCCTCTTACGGTCAAGAACAAGAAATATGGGAGATGGGGTGGAAGAAGATGAGGCACTTTTCAAGTCTACAGTCCAAGTCCGTTACTGATCTGGGGCACCGTCCTTTTGTTGGATGGCTGACAGATTTCATCCCCTCATTGGAACATGGCTGCCTTAGGTTGTTGTTTTATCTTTAATATGATTCTTACTAGGTTTCCAGGGATTAGTTATTCTTTTCTCAGAAAGCTGTCTCTGCTTAAAGAGCAGATCAAGTTTTACTTCATGTTCATATTAGGTTGCCTAAATGGTCATTTGTTTGGAAAATAAAGCCCTGGATCGGTAGCTATACGTCCATTTATTGCACCCTTTGCGTGCATCTTGTAAATGGTTACGACTTAGGAATTGAAAAAAGAATAAAAAAATCGAAGGATTTAATTGATTTATCTCATAAAGCTAGTCAAAGTCAAGGCAAAAAGATAACTTAATTGCTGACAAGTAGGGAAATTGTTAGATCAACACCTGTTCTTTAACTTACATATATGTATGTATGAACACTTGACTTCCATATCATAACATGAAATCTCATTCCCATCTCTCTGATCAATCTGAGATTTGGGTTTTACAAATGTTGAAGATGGAATTAAAGAGGAAATTTGAAAAAAATCGAAAACAAAAAAAAAAAGAAATGAGAATGAAGCTTTGATCACCAATTTCTTGACTATAGAAGGGCTCAAGGGGACAAATGGCACCGTCAAGATTCCATGAGTTAGCCCAGAACACTTGTTCAATTTTTTAATTTTGTGCATGACAGGTAAACGTCTCATTCAGTCAGTTAACCAAACTAATTAATTTGAGTCTCTTAACTGTAGTTTCCTGAACTCAGCAAAAGATTTGACATTGCACACCATGGTGGTCCTTTCGAGCTTGTTATTTTAGCTAATTGCTGCAGGAACACGAAATCTAAGATTTAGAAGTTACACTTGCACTCAAACTAAATGATAAAGAATCTGGTTGACTAGTTGCTTGCTTGCATCTTTAATTTGATTATAACCTGCCGAAGAATCAATATGCATATATGAAAAGATTGCTTCAATCCCCTTTCATTAATCAAACAAGTCCACTGGTGAAAACTAGAGCCTTCCTTGTGTTGTGAAAAGCCAACCATTGGCATCTCACTACACAATATACTACAACATTGTTAAAAGTCATGACTTAGGGGGGAGGTAGGGAGAGAGAGAAGAGGAGAAGAGAAATTACAGGTCAATATCTTCATTGCTTCTTCAATAAGATAAGAACAATCAGCCTTTATTACATCAGCACACTGCTTATAAAATGGATTATTATAAAAATGAAACCAGTATCCAATAAATCTAAATGAATAAATCCTTCGCCACCTGAGGAGAAGGGCAGACAAATCTTATGGAGAATGCACAGAAAATAAAATATATACTCCCCTTTGATTATGTGTAATGCAAAGAAAAACCATCTGTTCAACCATGGTTCTGCCAATGAGTTACCGCTTTGTAAACATCCCTTGCGTTAACGACGAGAAATCATAATCTTTTCCCCATTGAGATGGGGTCATTGATGGAACTGGAGATGCTGAGATAGGCCTACCTCCAATGCTTTTCATGCCAATGGTTGGTGGAACTCCTGGCCCCGGTGTGTGCAAGCTGCAAGAGCAACCAAATTAGTGACAAGTGCCTCAAGAATGGGGCATGTGATAAGTTGGATTACATGGAACATGTTTAGTTGTTAATTTGGAAAAAGTGCTCGTGAAACAAAGTCATTGTGTTTATGCCTGTGTCTGCTTGTATTAAGCTAATCAGAAATTGAGTTCACATAGAACTCTCCATACTAGGATCAATGAAGGTCAAAAACAGTGCATTAAAATTTCACTGGTAATCAAATACCAAGGAATGATCCCAGTTAACCTCATTTCCATGCTTATACCGAATTAACAGAAAAAAAAAAATTTGGTGTGCTGTGATTGAACCTTGATAAACTATGAATCTGGTGATAGGACTTAAGTTTCTTTTTACTAAAAGGACCAGTTTAATTTGCTTTTAGATTCATACAATTCCTAAAAACTAAAGTCCATAAGACCGATCAACTACTTAAAGATTTAGAAATAAGCAACTTTTTTAGATGGTCAAGCTGAAATAATTTGTGTATGCACCTGGAAGTTGGGAAATTAACTGAATTTCCTGCCGAGTACATCTGTTGGTTGCTTCCCACCTGTACAGGAAGACAATAACATTATGAGATAGGATGAATGCAATCTAGAAAAAAAAAATGGTGTAAGCATGTTGCAAGCAAACCAGCATATGCTTCTGTAGACCAGCGACTGGCATCACCACTCTAGGAACTTGATGCCCAATGCTTCCAGAATTTGGAGCAGGAAAATGCATGCCGTGATGTGCATTTACAGGAAAGGCTTGGGATCCACCATTAGGCTTCGCAGCAGTAGCCATGAAGGACTGTTGTTGGGAAAGCATAGCAAGTTGTTTTTGATGGGTAGAAGATGAAGACACCATACTTGACTGTACAAAATTCATCACTAAATGGTAAAACGGAACTTGGAGAAAATTTACAACAATTAAGCTTAAGAACAATTAAACAAATATCAATGGGTGAAACCAAACTTCATGTTTGTGTTACTCATATCAAAGAAAAAATAATTTAAATTTAAACAGTAAAAATCTACTTTCAAACTTTCTTGAATGCAGTAGTGACTTGACATTGTATTGACTACAAATTCCAGGATGATCAACATAACTTCAATGCCAAGAAAATGAAGATTTCATACCGAATACTGAATATCAGGTTTAGCGTCTTCCTGTGGTTTCTCTGGAAAAGTTTGTTTTACTGTTGCTGAATCTCTAAATAGATCCTCAATTCCATTTTTATGTTGCACCTTGGTTTGACTTACGATTGATGAATCACTAGCCACCCTGGAGGATTTTGCTTCAGCAGCTGCAAAATTGATAGGTTGAAGGTTAAAAGTGATTACCAAATTTACATTACTATATTTAACAACCCTCAGCAAGAAACTAAAGAAGTGATCAGATAGAGAAAAGGGCATTAAAAGTAGTAATAGTAGTTGTCTTGAAAGGATTATTATGGCAGGAAACATACATGACAAACCAGCCCAGAAATTATGATGAGCAGAAGTCTTTGAGCCATTTTCTCTAGAATCCCCCATGGAGAGCAGATTGAAAAGTTCAGTGGCATAATCTGTTTTGGGTGCTGCTGCTGATGAAGTAGTCTTAACATCCTGCTTTATTGATTCAGCATTTGAGACTGATGGAGTTGGATTAACCTCCTGATTTGGAGATTCAGCAATTGAGACTGATGGCTCAGAATTCTGTAGAGGTTCTTGTGGTCTTGTATCAGGTGTAACCTGTAGATCAAGTACACATTTCATTTCTGAGTCACATACATGTAATAATGAAAAATACTACTTTTAAAAATGTTTATTATTGGTTATAAGTTTGAAATTTGTATTCATCCATGTTTTCTAGCACCTCCAAACATTTTAGCATTTCACAAGAGATCCTACCATGTTAGTTATGTTTTTGAAAAGGTTCCACTCCTCAACTAAACAAGAAAGGCATTTTTATTTTATCAGTTACGTTTTTGAAAAGTTCCCATTCCCATCTAAGCAACATAGTCTCATAAAACAAAAATTAATAACACGCATTGACATTGAATCAAAGAATATTGCTTTTAATTTTCAACATTTCAATGCACGCTAAAGGAAAAGAAAAGAAAAAGCAAACCATACATGTTCTGTTATTGGAATGTATGAATTTCCTCTGTTTGATAGGCAGCAAAGTTAACCGCAGCAAAAATTCTTATTGCACCAATAGGAAATGAATTTACTAAAAATCAGTGTGCAAGACCAAACAAAGACTACACTACCTTCTGAGGAACATTAACATGCGCTTGAGAGCAACTTTTAGGAGTAGGAATGCTGTTATTCGCAATAGATGGGTGAATAACTTTCTTCTCTTCTGAAACATGATTTACATTATTCATGTACTTATAACCACCACTTCTAGGTTGTCTATAAAGTGATTCCTTCTCTTCACTCACACTAGAAGGTAATTTTGGCTTTCGACCCCTGGGAATCCATCTCTTTTCTTCATACCTAATGAAGAAAATAAGCATCCTTAAGCAGAATTTTAGGTAAGAAAACGACTTCTGACAAAGCAATAGAAGTAAATCAAGCATAAAATTAAATGGGTAGTTTTTATGAAGTTGTACTTTGCACGAATGAAATTCTCAATTCCAACTCTGTAATAATTGGGAGGCAACTCCGCTTCCCAGTAATTATTTGATTTCTCATTGCCCATGGCTGCAAGAAAGAAGAAAAGAGGGCTACTATCAGCACCTGATTTCGATCTGAGATGGTCAAAAGAATCTAGTATAAACACAAGTCAAAGAAATAACTGTGTGACTTACATTGAATAAAAGAAACCTGCTCTGGAAGCCATGTATCTAAAGTAGCAGACCTCACCTGCATGAGATCCAAAACAATCTCCAAAAATATGTTAACAAGAAAATTAAAGTATAATAGCAAAATATAAATCAATGAAACTATTTTCAGGAGTAAGGGACAAGAGAAGCAAACTAATAATGAAACAACATAAACAAAACCTTTGATATGTGTACTCCAAGACTTCTGTGAATCCCTGAACATTGCATGCAAATGAATATTCCTAGATTTACACTAGCCCAACGTGGTCCCCTGCATAGCAGACAGGCCATTACAACTCAAAGTCCCAGTCCTTTACGGTGAATCAGAAATCTTGATTAAAAATTTTCTCTTATTCCCAATCATACTTTTTGAGGACTCAGAATTTTCTGCCAATAAATTAATAGTAGCAATATTGTTACCAGATACCTACTTGCTTTTGCAGTCTGCGCACTCTCTATTCTCAGGTAACTTAAGAAGGCCCTCCAATATCTGCAGAAGATGGCACCAGATGAATCACATTGTTATTACTTAATACTACTATAACATACAAAACGCTTTTAGTCTGGTTTCAATTCATCACATTCAAGGAAACCCTGTGATGAAAAAGATGAAGTGATTGACTCAATTTGATTTTTTGTGTGATACCATTGGCCATTCGCCATTGACCGTTAAAGAAAGTTTTACTTAAATTAAAATGAACCAAGTTATTTAAGATGAATAAAATGTTCACAAATTCGACCATACATGGCCTAAGACATTCAAAACTACCGGAACATATATAGAAACAACATTGCAATTTGCAGCATCTAAGATATTGGACAACTGTTTATTGCAGTATGCGTAGAAGACCCATATTGGTACACTAGCTTCCTAAAGCTATAACAAAATATATTACCGTGGGCCTTGGCGTCGGACACCTTAGGCTCACCAACCACAATTGACAGCTTAAATATGAAGAGCAGTGCAACTCGCTCTATTGAAAAACAACTGGAAATCATATAAGACAAATAGTTTAATTATGTAGGGTAACCACTGTTTTTAAAGTACTCCAAATTGGCCAATTAAGCTTAGGATTAATTAAATAAGCAAAGCTATGGAAGCCCAAATTGGTTGATAACACAACTTAATCCAGGACAAAAGCTATCCCAAAATTACAAAAAGTTCAAAATTTTCAAAACAACAAACAAATATTGAAATCAGATTCTTCTCTATGGCCTTGCTTTAGAGAGTTTATTAACATAAGGATAAAGAAAACAATCAAAGCTTGCAACCATTCAGTTTAGTTTCATCTACCATATCAAAATTCAGACTTTACCAATAAGAAAAAAGGAGTCTTGAGCAAAAGAAAACGCTTAAGCTTAAATGGGTAATAGACAATGATACGAAGAGAAAACCTTTCTGTGTTTAGCGTTAAGTTGTTTAGAAACGTTAGCCTTCTCGTTCATGATGCAAACTACGTCTCCTTTTGCTCGAAAGCTCTCTTTTTTTTCTCTGTTAGACAAGCTTTATTCCTTTTGTCTGCAAAATCTTTATTCGAATCACAGAGAGACGGCAATGAGAAAGAAAGAAGCAAGGCAGAAAGGAGAAGTTAGAGAGGAAATGAGAAATGGCAAAAGTGGGTGTCTTTTGTTTTGCTTTTGGTTTGCTTGACTTTCTTCCCTCTTTTACTCTTTGGTTTGTTCTCTTTGGTTGGAGGCTGGCGTGTACACAGCCGTCAAAGTGGGGCACCCTTTTTTGGTTTCCTCAATAGTCTGAAGCCTTTTCTTCTTTGGCGCCCTTTCCGTCCTGTTTTCTGTTTGGTTGCCTAGAAACCGATGAGGTCAAGAAAACGAGATTCTCTCTTGAAAATAGAAACATCTCATTTCTGTTTTTGGCTTTCAGCTTTGCTGCAATTAGTACTAAAAACGGTTAACTCAAAACTCCAAACACGAAATCTAATTTTCATTTACGTTTTGGAAAAACATAACAAGGAACTAATTTGTTTTAAGGTATAGGTGATATTAGATGTTAATTTTATATATTTATATTAATAATGTATAAATTCAAATAATGTGATATTCTATATTAATTCTTATATATTTAAATTGATAATATATAAATTCAAATTAAGCATAGACGATATTTTAAGTTAAATTTTATACCTTCACCTTAATAATATATAAATTCAAATTAAGTATATGTGATATTTTATATTAATTTTTATACTTTTGCATTGATAATATATAAATTTAAATTAAACATACATGGCATTTTACATTAATTTTTATAAATTTAAGTTAATAAACAGAAAGAGAAGTTGGAGAGTGTGATTTCGTCGAATCTATCGTTTTAAGATCAGATTCAATCATGGGATAAACAGTCAATTAGAGATAGAATAAAATTTTTTTATATAAAAAAATAATTAAAATATTTTAAATATTTCAAATTCATCTATTAACATCGTTTATACGTTTGAAGTAGATTGTCAATTTCAAAATTGATATATTCTTATGAAATTTTGATTAAAATTTATTGTTAGAATATTTTATTTATAAAATTAATTTAGATGGGATGAAGATTGAGTTGAACGGGACAAGAGAGATTGGATTGAATTGAAAGCTTTTTTTTTTTGTATTTTGTTGATGTCTATTTTTTGTATTTTGTATTTTTAATTTTTTTGTGCATTTGATTTTTTGTATTTTGTACGTCCGGACAAACTACTACACCTGAGTAAAAGACATTGATATCCGTAGACAGGTGTCATGTCTGCACCTGTAACTACACTGAGCATAAAGACATTTATATCTCTTAACAGGTGTCATGACCACACCGGTTTAGATTTATTCCGGGTTGACTCGGTCCAAATAGAATACAATAAAGAATGACTCGTGCGTAACACACGGGCCTATTTGCACTCCCCCTCTTTGCCTCAACGCTAAACTCTTTGCTTCAATATCTATTCTCTTTCCTTTTCTCTCTGCCCTCCACGTGGTTAACTTTGGAAGGCCCATTGGGCCGTCCCTTTTTAATTATGTTATACATACGCCGTTTTGACGCGGTATAAAGGCAAACTCAAAATCAAACTCAACCAGCAATCTAGGGAGGAAAAAGCAGAAGTACTGAGATAGGGATAATGGAGAGGCAGCGAAATGAGTTGATACGACGGCAGCGGAACGTGGTGAGGAGACCTTTGTTGACAGAGCTTCCGAAGCTATCCTCACTGAATAGCAACAGAAAATCGACCGGTTATACGCAAACCGCCGTCGATCTCAAGTGCAATACTTGTCACTATATCATCCCTCGAGGCACCAACATGCCCTTTAGGCATTATTGGAGAGCCTATATCCCCGTACTTATATATTTGTCCTTTCATCCATGGTGTTATTATTATGAATTTGGGATTTTAGATAAATGTTCAACTAATGATTAGTTGATGACGTTTAAGGTTGCCCTGATCCATGTTTTAAGCGTCACATGAACTGCACCAATTGTTCTGCTTGAATTGTAATTGATTTTGTGGATGGAAAGTACATAGTTGTTATGGGTGCAACTCAGGTACCAAATCTGGTGAATCGCATTGCATTCACTCTTTGTGTTCATGTTGTTTCAGATCATGTGTATTGGTGAATATTTTCGTAGCCATTTTTACCTTATATATATATATATATATTGCAAGAAGATGATTCTGAAGCGATCTGTGTCACTCAGGCACATCTCAGTAATTTCTATAAAATTAGGTCTGTTTGTGTGACTGAGAATTTCCTTTATATTTCTTTATTCATAGAAATAAACTGGATCTTATATTGAAACTGAACCTTCTAAAATCTCTTTTAGCAATTGGTTTCAACTATCCTATTTGCCTTTATATATATAAATATATTATGCAGTAGGATGATTTTGAAGCAATATGAGTCCCTCGGGGATACCTCAGTCAGTTCTACCAATCAAGATCTGTGTAGGATGATTCTGAAGCAATTTGAGTCTCTGGGGGATACATTAGTCAGTTCTAACTATCAAGATCTGTGTAGGATGATTCTGAAGAAGTTTGAGTCCCTCGGGGATACCTCAGTCAATTCTACCAATCCAGGTCTGTTTGTGTGATTGAGAATTTCATTTATATTTTTTTGTTGATAGAAATAAACGGGATCTTATTTTGAAACTGAATATTCTAAAATTTTTTTTAGCATTTGATTTCAACTATCCCATTTACCTTCTAACATATTGTTCAAATTATTGTGTGTACTGTTTATGTGTGTGCATTTTGCATGAGAAAAAGTCATTTTGCAGGAGAAAAAGTTTGGCCTTTAAGCACACTACTCAGACATATAGGCTACAACTGTGTTAAATCTCCCGCTTTAGATGGTGTGCAGATCCAACAGAGTATATATATTGTCAGCTAATTTTCCCTGGTTTTCTAAACTTTTAGTAATTTTGTTCGAGGTTATTTATCTGAAAAGAAACTAGATATAAAGATCCAATTGCTAAATATGCTGGAGAGAATCTTTCATTAGCAAGTTTCAGTGAAGTGTTTTTTTTGCTCAATCAAAGGATGTCATTTTATTTAATAGCATAAAATGGATAACACGATCAAGGTCACAGCAATAACGCCTCAGACCATGATCCACAGATGAGTTGTGTGCCTGCCAATGGTTATAAAATTTTCCAGAATCATATATCAGTTGTATTGTACATGCA